TCGTGAATTTTCGGTCTTAACTAAGTTAAAAAGCTATTCACGGTAATCCGGAAGGCTTCCGCGTTCCGAACTACCCTTCCGCCCCGGCGGTTTAGGCCTATTAAGGGCGTTAATGTGAGCATCCGCTCGGCGCGGAGTGCTCGTTAACGGTTCTGCCGGTCATGATGTTAAAAAGAATAACACCCAGGAGCGCCATAAAAACATCTATGTAACATTCGCCCGGAAGATACATATCAACGGAAGACAAAACTAAGTCTTAAGACGACTGGCTAATGTCTAAACAGAGCTTTGCATGCTTTTCACCGTCTCTACCAAGCCAGTACTTTTCGGTGGTCTTTCTAACATCGGGTCGACAAAAACGTTACTGCTTTCGGCTTCGGTCAAAACACTTAAATTAACTAGATTACATGCAGAAATAGTGAGCTCATGGCTGGGTCTCAGTATCCCCAGACCACGAGGTCACTCCTAAAAACAGGGCTACTACTTATTATATTACTATTGTTTTTGTTCAGTAGATAAAAATCATCATCTCCATCGAAGATGGATCAACCCTTTCCCCCAACTCCTAGCTTCTCATTCTTATCAAAATTAATCTAGATGTTAATTAAATTCAAGTCAGGACATGATAGGAAGCTAAAAGTTTATGTAACAGGATAAAAGTTTCAGTTCCTTTACCCCTCCGGAATGATAAATCTGCTGGATCAAGCTGGTTAATCCTGATTTCTTCTTAATCCGGAAGGCCGTCCTTCACCCTTCACCGTTGTTCGCAACGGCCTTGCAATTATTGTAGCGGCACAATAGTTGCAACTCGGAGTGTTCTCTGTTACTCTGTAACTCGTTGTCGTTTTCCAATCTCGATTTCGTAGTTGTTGTTAGCGCAGCTAATGTTGTTCTGTTTTTTTTTCTTGTTTTAGCCAAAATGGCCGTTTCTGACGTTTCTCAGAAATATGACGTCATAATTCGAATTTTTGAAATTTTAAAATACCAGAATATTCCAGCCCTCACCGTCTGGCCAATCGTTCCAATAACGTTCTTAGTTCTTAATAATCACCAATCCGGAAGGGTCGCTGCTAAAAATTCGAATCTGCAGAGATTGCATCTTTCACATTCTGGTCGAATGTCACAATTCGCCCGGAAGTACATATCGATGGAAAATAAAGCTAGGTTCTAAAACGACTGGCTAGCGTCTAAACAGAGCTCTACATGCTTTTCACCGTCTCTGGCAAAGCCAGTTCTTTAAGTGGTTTTCCTAACATCGGGTCGACAAAACGTTACTGCTTTCCGGCTTCGACCAGAACGCTCAAGTTAATTTAATTATATGCAAAAAAAGTGAGCTCATGGCTAGGTCTCAGTATCCCCAGACCACTAGGTCACTCCTAAAATCAGGGCTACTACTATTTATTATATTACGATTGTTTTTAATCAGTAGATAAAAATCATCATCTCCATCGAAAATGGATCAACCCTTTCCCTCACTCCTAGCTTCTCTTTCTCTGAAAATGAATCGGGATGTTATTTAAACTCAACTCAGGAAATGACCAAGAAGCTAAAAGTTTATATATAACAGTTTCAGTCTTGGGCCCGAGATCCCTCCGGTTTCTGGAATCCGGGGAAATACCACTCCTATTTTTTTCCGGAAGGCTGGACACGCCGTCCCAACACCCTTCCCTTTTCTCGGGTTCTACGTTGTAACGATTGTAGCGGCACAATCGTCACAACTCGGAATGGTTTCCGACAAATTCCAAATACAGTTTCAATCTGTCGTCGTTTGCTCGTAGTTGTTTTTACTGCAACTATTGTTGTTCTGTTTCGCCGTTTCTGTGTGTGCGAAAAATAGAAAGGTTACGTGTCGTTCATGTCCAAATTGAAATTTTAAAAATTAGCATGTCAGTTAAAACTAACCCTTCCCGATTTGTCTAATCGTTCAAATAACGCTGCTAATCCATTAAAACCATCAATTTTCCTGGTTAGATGTTCTTTATCTGATCGATAAAAATTCGATTGCGAAACTGCATTTTTGTACATTCTGGTCGAATGTCACAAGGTTGATCCATCTGAAATGGATCAAAGTTCCACTGTCTAATAAAAAGTAGCTATAGGGATTGTTTCGACCCTGTTTTTAACGGCGTTCGCGTGTTTTGGTTATTTTGAGACCTAAGTATGGGGACGTTCTTGTTTTCTAGAGTGGGGGTATTTTAGTAGTGGCCTTTAAGCTGTAACAAAGGTTTTAGTCTCATGTCGCAAGTGAACCGAATTGACGCCGACCGTTTGAGGTAGAAAAACACAAGAGTTAGTGTCCCTGACTCTTGAGCCAATGGTTATAGGGCCTATTTTTTTTAACCTCACATGTGACTTAAGTAGGCGACTTTTACTGTAACATTCGTCTACTGCAGTCACACATGAGGCTTAAGAAAAATAGGCCCTATAACCATTGGCTCAAGAGTCAGGGACACTATCTCTTGTGTTTTTGTACCTCAAATCAGTCGGAGCCAATTCGGTTCGCTTGTGACATGAGACTACGACCCGTTACAGCTTAAAGGCTACTACTAAAATATCCCCCCACTCTAGAATTAGAAACGTCCCCATACTTAGGTTTCTAGATACCCAAAATACATGAACGCCATTAAAAACCGGGTCGGAACAATCCGTTAAGTTACTTTTTATTAGACAGTGGAACTTTGATCCATTTCAGATGGATCAACCTAAAACTCGCCTTACCTCAACATAACAATTATAAAACACACTCTAGAAATTTAAATTAGTACTCACATTGTAGCACGCTCAAGAACCAGGAAGTAAATAAGTCGGTAAGCAACTCAAGAATCAATAAAGTAACTAAAATGAGTTTAATGTTAGTCAGTTTCAATAACAAGAACAAGTTTTTACTCTAGACTGTAAGTTCTCGTGAACCATTGGGACACTCTAGCTGTCCACCTTTCCACCGAAGGTTCACTCTGGTCCAGTTAATAATAGTACTCCAATCACAACAATTCAGTTCGTGGGAATGCGCTCGTCTCTGTTTTAGATGGGACAGCTCTACTCTCGATTATTATTGCTACTGAAATTGCGAATAGCAATTTCCCACTGATTTTTCTAGCAACTTTCCCGCGATTGTCACTCGATCGTTCTGACTTCTCTTTTCTGATTTTCAGTTATCGCGAGAAAATCGTGCATGACAGGTTTCATTCGAAATTTTGAAAAATTAAATTTCACTCCAAAATTAAGTGCTTTTTGCTTCTCTCAAGGTCAAACTTCCAAATATGACCGACTGGCACATACACCCCTCCGAGTTCGTCAAAAAGAACGATTAAAAACTCTAATCGATCAGAACCATCAATCTTCTCGGTATGATGCATCAACAAAATTCCGAATTCGAACTTGCATTTTGACACATTCTGGTCGAATGTCACAGTTTTGCCCATTTCGGAAACTTGTCTCCGTTTCTATCAGCTTCTTATGCCTTTTTGCCTGCTAAGGCTTCGTCAATTGCTTGTTGTTTCATGCACTAAGTTTGACGAATGCTGGGGGGCAAAAATCCTACACCCGGAAAAAGTTGAAACGTAGAAACGCTCTTTCAGGTTAGAGTGTAGAAATCAGAACTTAAAAGCATAAAATTAAATGAAATTCAAAATTATCTTTTTTCGAATTATCCAGTGTTGTGATTCAGACATGCAAAGTTTGTTTTAAAATTGAAAGGTTTTACACAAAGTGATAATTCTGAGTGTTCTGGATAAATTAGAGTCGGTATATAAGCGTTAGATCTGAGTATCAGTTTCGGCTCATGTTTTTGTTTTTGTTTATCTCAATTTGCCAATGGTTTCTTCTCTTTTTTAAACAGATTTTTTTATTAATGATTTAACTGCTTACGAACTCTTAGATGAGCGAATATGGTGATTCAAGGAGATATCAAAGCCTTTAAAAAAGACTAACTAGATGACAGCGATGAAGTGTCTCACAATGAGCCAGATATAACGTTTTCAGATTGAGTCTCAAATGCTCAAAAGTATGGCACAGCAACGCCGTGATTTTCTAAATCAACAATCGGACGTTTTTTTGTACATGATTTTTTGCTCCAAATTGCTGAAAGCTGTTTGCAAAAAAGTTTTAAAAGCAACTAAAACACTAATGAACAGTTTCTTGCCCTTTCCTGGTCGAAACAATGCTTCATAGAAAAGCGCTAAAAGGGCAGCAGTGGACAGTTTTTGAAAAATAATATTTTCTGTTGTGGGTTTGAGTGATATATCAATTTAAAGCCCTGATTTTAGTTTGAATTGCAAAGAGTTTCTTGTTATCAGGAAAAAAAATCGGTTTGAAATAGTGCTGAATCCGTAAGCGCAAACGGCGTCAGGAAGCTTTTGTCGAGAATTCAAAGGGTCGATTGCAACTTGTAAATGACCGCTAGCAGGTACATTTTGGGTCAATTGATTGGCCAATTATCGACTTTTCAGCCTAAACGAGTTTTCAGCTCTGCCGTCTAGGGATATTTTGACCTCAGTCATCACTTGTTGCCACTAAATGTGGAATTACAACTTTTCCTTAAATTAGATTGTAGGTTGTGGGACAAAAAGAGTTAACAGATGAACATAAATAAATTTGGCGGGATATTTAAAATTTGATTGCATAAGAGAAATTTTGTAACAATTTGATATATTACTTTAATGAATAATGTGTTTGACACTTTTTATGATTTTTGATCATTCTGTACATATTAGTTAGATTATTAAACCTGAAGATGCACTAAAATTGTGCGAAAACGTTTGTTTAATTTACAATTTTAACGTAACAGATGAACATAATTATACTTTTGACCTGTCAAGAAAAGTTGTTTCTAGACATATCAATTGCACCATTATTGCTCTTAGTCTAATCATCTCCTTTTTATCATTAAAAAATCAATTGCAATTCATTGATAGTTGATTGGTTGACAAGGCTAACTTCAATTATTTGTATGGCCTAAGAAAATGACTTTGTTATCAATCCCTGATTGGCGTTTTCTGTTTTAGATTAGATATGGCTGATATTTTATGCAACTGGCTCAATAACGAGGTCAAGATATCTCGAACCATTGGTAAGATCAATTTAAAAAACTAGCGATTCGTTTACTTCTATTAGTCATTTGCTCATTTTAGATCCCGATTCAGTGGCAAAAGAGTTTTCCAGTGGTTATCTGATTGGTGAGCTCCTGCGGAAGTATGAACTACAGGAAGACTTTGGGAAATTCTCGAACAGCAGGTGCGTTTAAAAAGTTGCATTGTGACTATGGAACTGAAAAGTTATGCAGCAACTCAATGATATTTTAAAGAATCAAACTCTCCGAGTACCATACATTTGAAATTTTAGCTCCACGAATGCAAAGCTCTCTAATTTCACGAAGTTGGAGCCTACTCTGCGCCTCCTGGAGATCCCGTTTGACACTGTCAGAGCTAAGGAGATAATGACCGAGAAACAGGGGGTTGCAATTAAGTTAGTTACTGTTATGGATACTTGTCAGGTTCTTGTTGATTTCAATAATTACACAGGCAGAGATTGCATTGGATTTTTTTCCAACCCAAGTGTCTATTAGTAGTCCTAATTTTGTTCGGCGGCACCTTTGCAGCAGGCAGTTTGTGCAATTTAAAAGCATCTGTTTTCAAATTTGATTACTAATAAGTTAACTTGGTTGATGCTTGATGTATTCCGCGAGGTTTTGAAATCTAGTTTTTCTTTTTCTCAGTTTCGGATTAGCTGGCGAGAAAGATTTATCCTTTCTCTTTTTATTCTCCTCCTTAATGTTACTTTTATGTTTGCATTGTCATCAAACTGAATTTTTCTAGATTTCGGATGATCTCTTCGGACGAGAACGTTTAATTGTAATTGAAGTAAAATAGATACACGTTTTACCAACGAAATGCATAACTTATATGCAATTTGGTTTTTCTTCCGACCATTGAAAACTTTGTATTCGGGTTATTTTAGTTTTTCCATGCAAATTCAGGTACCACAAATAATCATCGGACTGGGTTGAGTGATGAAACATATTAAAGCCTTTTCAGTGGTGATTGGAAAAACATTAAAATTTTTGCAATATTTTTTCCCCAGTTTCTTCCTAGACGTTCTCTGACATCACAATGTGTGTGTAGACGGATTGTCCAAGCAGGAGATCAAATGTGTTGGGCTTGTCGAAAGCTGGATCTGCTAAGTTGTAGTTGCTGACCTTTCGTAGGTCTGTAGCTGCGATTTGTGTGTTTGGATGCTCGTGATCCGTGATGTTTTTCAACACCTTCAACTTTGAAATTGTTTGTTTGGTAGAATTGTGAGATTCATTCGACCATGGGTAGGCATATCGTTCTTCTGGTTCACTCCAATTATGCGATCTGGAGCTGCTGTTAGTTTGATGCCAAGCCTCAAGTGATTAACTCGACCGTTCTGAGATCGAAATTTGACGTTTGCCGTTGGAAGAACTGTGATAGTTCTATTTCGGTTGATTTAAAGAGCATCTATTGTCGATGCGAGATGAGCACTGGGCTGACTAGAACTGCCCTGAAAAGTTGTTTGATGCTTCTTTTGACATGTCTTGTACAGTGATGTTGAAGGACATTGCTGGATGCTGTGGCTGGCAGACAAACAGTTGAAGCACATCCTATTGCTGGTCACGATTTTTTTCTTTTATATGTTTTCATCGATCAGTGTTTTGCACAATGCCATATTGGATGTCGCTCTTGGCAGGTTTGAACTTTACACTGTGGTAAAGAGAAACCATTCTTATGAGATCGGTTCTTTTCTGTTAAGAACATCTGCTGCTGACGCTTAGGCTTATGGGGACTAGAAAGAGATCCTTCAACCACCTCTAAAGAACTGACTCTGTTGTCTAAGAACACGATGAGTCGATCGAAGTTAGGAGCTTCAGTGCCATCGTTAGCAGTGTCCCATGCCTTCTGAGATTCAGGATCGAGATTCTCGAAGAGAATGAGATGCCTCAAATCGTTTTCCACTGACCTTCCGAGTGCCTTGATGGATTGCGAAGTCTCATTGAAAACTGAGTGTAGCTGGCGAAGCTGGGGCACATTCTCCGTTCGAACTGCAGTGAATTCGTGACAAAAGCTTTCGAATCATGACTCCATCATTTTTGTATCTTTGCTCTAACATTTGAAGCGCTACATCATAGTTGCTTTCTGTCGTCTCCAAATTTATGATGAGCTTAGAAGCATGGCTCGTAAGGCAAATCTTCAAATACATCAATTTCTAAACCGGTGACAGCTTGTCATTGTCATGGACAGTTGATAGAAATTGATCAATGAAGCGAAGCTTAGCCAGGCAGTGGAATCGCCACTTAAGCTAGGCAGATTGATCTGCGGCAATCTTGGCGTGAATCTTTTTTGGTTCAATCTGCATAGTTGCAACAGGGTTGATAGGCTGACTTGATGCGGCTATTATTCTCTTTGCGGCTTGTAGAGTTTGGCGATCAGCCTTCTGTGTTTTCTGACATTAATCGAATACTTGATAGTATTCGGCATAATCGGTCATAACGTCAAGCAACTCGTGATCAGGAGCTGAGAATTGAGCCAAGCAATGCTCAAGCTCGGTTGTTTCATCGCTCAACTCATTTTGGTTACAATTGACGTTGGCACAAAGGTCGCTGACTTGAGAAATTTGCCGTTTCAGAGCTCGCAGACAGTTTCTTTGAGCTCGCTTAAGCTTCTTCATAGCTGATTATGTTTGACTTTCTGTAGTAGGCTCAGCCAGTGTGCTTAGGTTATGAGGCAGACCAGAATACTTCGCGATAACTGGAAAGCGACTGTATCGTATGAAAATTGAATTAATGATGATTTAGTTACTATAAATTGCGGGTAAATGAATTGAATAAATTATGGGAAAATTAAGATGCGTTTTTATTTGAGTTCGCATGTGAACAAACTATCTGGCCATTTAAAACATGCTTTGTTTGCTCTAACACCCAGTGTCAAGAAAAAGCGGTTTCAGTTTATTTTTTTCGTCTAACATCGAGCGATTAGGCTTATTATAGAAAGATTACTAGTAAATAAGCCATGAATTTTTCATGGAAGCCCTGAAAAATCGAGTAAAATAAGTTTTTAAAGTTTTTGGCGTCCTCTTGGGAATAAAGAGTTTCGAAAGTTCACAAAAAAATTTCTGCAAAAAAATTAAAAACAAAAATTTTAATTTTTTTTTGTCATTTTTCGAAGAAAACTGTTTTTCAATATGCGTATTTTAGTATGAAAATCGGAGAAGCCTGAAATTTAGTTTTTAGTTCAGTCTTTTCATCACACCACGCACAGAAAACTGGAATTAAATTTTAAAAATTATAATTTTTTTTTGTAGTTTTTCAAGAATATGGTCAGAATTTGCATTGCTACTTGCACAGCAACCGGCTATGCTTGAATACATTTCAAGTTAGTGTGGTTGCTGTTTTTGTTTTACATTCCAAATTATTTCATGCATTATTTGTGTAGGCGTCAAAAGGTGTATTTAGCGACAAATGTTTTGCTTTTAGCTTGTATTTGCAAAGTTGCAGATTCTTTGTTGTGTAATGTTTGTGAGCCAAACATTGCTACTAGGAAAAGTGGCCGAGAAATGAGTGCCGAGAAAAATTGGTCGATTTTTTTCCAATGTCATACTAATTAATCGCTAGTAGATGGCTGAACAATCACATTCCATGTCAATAAATCATTCTCAATCTGATTTATCGTTTTCCTCATCTCAATTGCAGTCCCAATAAAATCAAAATCTTCGCAAAAATCAAAAAATTTGTACCCCTGTATTTAGCAAGCGTATTGCAACCGGGTACTAATTTTTTTCCTTTTGAAATTTTTGCGTTCTCAATTCACTTTACATGTATAAGCATATCAAGTCGAAACTGCAAATTATTGCCGTTTCAGGCAAAGATAACATCCATGCTTGGTACGACAAAGGTCAGCGGTTTGTTTTCGGTCAGCATTTTTCTAACATTTTTGTTTACAGAATCCGAACGTAAAAATTTGACAGGTGGCGTACTTGCTCCATTATAATTTCAATTATTAGGAATATTCTGCCCACTTGGCTCTGTAGAAACACGCATGCTCGAGATGTGTTGTTTGGAAAATGAAAATTTAAGAATAATTTAGACTATCGCCTGTCTGCTTATTTTTCTCGGCTTAGATGCCGCATAAATGATTTTTTTAAAGGTTCGGCTTCTTTATGGTTCTATGAAATAAGATAATATTTCATTTACTTTTAATCATAGTCATTCGTTTTTGTACTGCAAATGACAGTTATTTACATGTTGCGCATTTTCTCTCAATGAAGTCGAAGAAGACTCTTTTTGAAATGCTGACACTCAGAACAATCAATTCTTCCACTGATTTTGGATTCTAGGCAAAATTTTCTGTAGTAGAAACTTCTGCGGCTGTTTTCCGAGCAGACCGTTGGTATTCAATGTCTCGTTATAGCTGTGGAAGAATTAAGCACATGTTTTCCCGTAGTTAATCTATTGTAGCAGCCTTATGTCGTTCAGCTCGAGATAAAGTGTAAGCGATGACATGTTGCAGCATCCAAGTCTGGATTTACATTCCATGTTTTTGTCACCTATGTTCCAGTTTCTTGTCTTAAAATAAATGCTATCTGATAAAATCAGTTATCTCGTGTTTTTTTTTCATCTGAAGCATCTGGTGACTGCAGCAAACTAATTTCTTGTTAATTATTTCCCTCGCATGGTACTTACTAACGAATCCGTCTCTACTAAGAAACACTTGAACAAAGCATATATTTGCAAAGGGGGAATCGTTAACATGATCAATTATTTTCACCATTTGCCAATCCGGCTTCAACAACTAGAGTAATCTTCTCTAGTTATTACAGCCGGATTGGTAAAGTAGCAATTGCTTCATCACTGGAAGTAAAATTGGTTTTTTGCCGTGTTGGTATAGAGAAACCATTCTTTTTATTTGACTGTTGTCAAAAACGTAAGTGTCATTCGGATTATTTCCGGCCGGAGTATCGGTTAATGTCTTGATTTTTTTCTGGTTAACCGATTTCAGCCCTATGATTAGCCCGCCATCATTGCCAAATCGAACCTAGATTTTTTCAGCTAAGCGGCTGGTCCAAAATAGTCACATTTTCATTTGACCAACACGTTGTTGTTGCAAATGAATCTTTAAATTGAATATCCTGATCAAAAACAGAACGTTATACAGATAAACAGAAAGTTAATTATGCCAAATTAGTTCAACGATGATTCAATTTTCTTCGGCCTAGTTTCCGTTTTGTTTTTGTGTTTTGAATACCAATCTTTTTTCAGACATAATCAACCTTGCGATTAGCAAGGGTGTTGCAACCGGATACTTTAACTTTTCTCCCGTGCAAACATGTGTTCACAAGATTTCGCACGTGAAATTGTTATACGTGTTTCCACTTTCTTCAAAGTAATTTCAAGTTCAATTAACTATCCAGCGCATCTAGTGTAGAAGTAACACAACTGCTTAAGACGACAAGAGGCTTGCAGTTCGAATCTCGCCAGACTTGTGTAGAGATAACACACCTGGTTAAGACGACAAAGGCTTGTGTTTCGAACTATTTATTCCGCTTCGAATCCGACTCTGAATTCCCAGTGGAATAAAAAATTACTTATTAATCCAGTTTTTTTTTCTAATTGGACTAGTTTTATGAAAAAAACGTTGATCATTCAGTACTGATAAAATTTAAAAAGTTTCATATATTATACTTTTTTCTTCGAAAAGTGAAAGTTCAAAAAAGTTCAAAAGTTTTGAATCGATTTTTTTTGGTTTCGTTGAGTTCTTATTTTTTTTTCGAACCATCTGTTGATCTGTAGTGATATTTTTTTTTGTTTCCAATATAAAAAGCATATAAATGCCAGAATTACGTCGAACATTTTTTCCAATTTTTCTTCTTTGTCGCTGATGTTTCGTTCGCCTGGCTCGAGTTTGTCAAGTGAGCTCTTATGAGTGTAAAAGAATGGCTAGATCGTATTTTCTCTTGTAATATTAAAAAAAAATTCGCCGTCTTTTACAGCCAATTTTTTGCGCTCTGGCAGTATTTTTTTGTATCACAAGTTGTTCGAATCTCAGCTTTCCCTCTGTGTAATTTTTTTTTCAAATATAAGAAAAAATGCGGTAGACATAATCGATTTATTGACGTGAAAAAAATGTTTATAATTAGGATTCTGTACGAGCTGTTTGTGGCGCTGGAGAACAAGCGCAAGTCACAACTGACAGGCACTGCAATGGAGACTATGCGACCGAAGGCGCCCAAGGTCAAAGAGGAGATGAACAGAGAATACTACCAGAATGTAAGTAATACACGTTTCAAGTGGAGATAAGAAAATCGATTTTTTTTTCTGAAACCATTTTTTGGGATTCTCAAAGATTGAAAAAGAAAGATTGGGCATAGAGTCATTTTCGCGCTATTTTAGGTAGGTCAAATAAATTCCTCGAATTCCAGATTCTGTTTCTGTTTCGAAAATTTCTGGCAGTGTTTTGAAAAACTGGTCTGAACTTTTGTTTGCTTTTCGGACTCTATACAGCATTTTATCGGTGGGATGTGGATGAGAAAGAAGTGCTCTCCATATAGGATCTCCTTATCTTTCTAAATATTTTTGACGCTCATATTTAGGTCTCCCTCTAATTAAGATACCACAAAAAATTGAAAAAAGCACAGAAAGTATTAACAAAAAAATTTAACATTTTAAAAGTTTTGTTGAATTTTGTTTTGCAATTAGGCCAGTGGTCGGAACATTCTGCTGCTTTCTCAGTAAATGGTCCTTCTATTTTTTGCCATAGTTTCGGTATATATATATATATATATATATATATATATATATATATATATAAAATGTTTGAATTTTACAGATCGCTAAATAATATTTAAATTGACATATTTTTATTTTAGGGCAACTTTCTTCTACAACCGCGAAACTCTAAAAGTGTAACACAATCTCTATATGTCTCAACTACGCATCTAGTTTGATCTTAACTTGATTTCACAATTTTTTCATCTGCAATAAGAGTTATCGGCCAGTCTGCTGGCAAATATTATTTAAGCGGTAAATTTCACTCTGAAATACTAATTTTCACCTAAAAGTTACATAAAAATTTTGTGTAAATGTGATTTGAATCTTTAAATTTTGAAATTTGGCACTTTTTTTCTTCCCTTTTCTCGCGTAAACATCAATTTTATGGTGTAACGAGTGGTTTTACAAGGTTAGATATGAAGATCAAACAAAAATGTTTGCAATACCTTAATTAGTCTGCACGTCAATTTTCATAACGTGTGTTTTGTGTAGAGGCTGAAGCAGATCAACCCGCGCCAGAGTGAGATGCAGCTGGACCAGTTGATTGACAGGTGGCGACAGCACAGAGAGAGGCTGGAAGAGAGTGATCTGAGGAGTCGGATGGAGGAGGAGGAGCGACTGAGGCAGGAGCAGCAGAGGAAGCGACACCAGGCACATCAGAGGGTGAGGGAAACACAGTTCACATGGTCAAACTTACGCAGAGATGTATTGTTTTTCGTAATTATAGGTCGAATGGCTGTAACGGCTGTAAATACAAATGGTTGCAGAATGCAATATACAGTTTCTAGTTTAAAAAAAGAGTACGTACCGAAAACAGATGCTTTAAAGTGACAGTGAGATGTGTTTCAGTCCAAGAAGCGCCAACAGGAGTTAAATGACCAAGTGGCCCGTATTCTGGCTGCTAAAGTTCACATCCCCAAACCCCCCGCGGACAAAACTCTGGCGGGCATCAAGGCCAGACAGCAGAAGATACGCAACCAGGAGACACAGGTATGGGTTCATTTACATCATACTTCATCTCCCAGGTAGCAAAATAAATTTTTTAGCCACCCAAGGCACTGATTTTTTTTCAAACTCTGGGAGCTCTATAAGAAACAAGATACGTATGGCAATCAGTACTTTGATTTCGAAGAAGTGTCAAGCTCCTCAGCCAACGAATCATGGGCCAGCTAAATTTTACGTTAAGGAAAAAGTGTCAGGGCAGGGTTGAAGCAGATCAGCTTGTCTCGCTTCCTATTCTTTCAAAGTTCAGTGCTGATATTCTTCTTGTAACAATATTAGGTTTCTGTTTCAATAACTTTGATAAATTATTTTTTCTTCTTTTAGAACACACAGAAGAGTCTGGTGGAGTTCGAGGCCAGACTTAAGGCGATGCAGCCAGTGACAAGCGAGGGCGGCGACAAGTGAGTCTAGACCACAATGTCGTGTTCTACCGTGTTCTTTTGCGTTCTGTCCTGTTTTATTGTGTTCTATCGTGTTCTATTGTGTTTTCTTGTGTTCTATTCTGTTCTATCGTGTTCTATTGTGTTCCATCATGTTCTATTGTGTTCCTTTGTCTTCTATTGTGTTCTATCATATTCTAATGTGTTCTACCGTGTTCTATTGTGTTTTATCGTGTTCTATTGTGTTTTATTGTGCTCTATTGTGTTCTACCGTGTTGTATTGTATTCTATTGTGTTTCATCGTGTTCCATCGTGTTCTATCGTGTTCTATTTTGTTCTATTGTATTCTATCCTATTCTATTGTGTTCTATCGAGTTCTATTGTGTTCTACCGTGTTGTATGGTGTTCTATTGTGTTTTATCGTGTTCCATCGTTTCTCTTGTCTACAAACGTGTTGTATTGTGTTCTATTCTGTTCTATTGTGTTATATCCGGTTCTATTGTGTTTTATTGAGTTCTATTTTGTTCTATTGTGTTCTATCGTATATGGGACCCCGGGTTTTTGATTCATTCTGAGCCAATGTTTTTCAAAATTAAGCTTTATACAGCGCTGATTTAAATTATCCGGACAAATCACATTTAAGTTGAAATTTAAAACGCGTTTTTCTTAAATTGGTTTGAATATAGGTGGAAACTGATGAGGACAAAACTTGCTTAAAACTTTACCAGAATTAATATGATGCCATTTCTTTTTCAAAACGCGGGCCCAAACTAGTACCCCATTTTTTTTTGGTTTTTTATTGTCAATCAAAAATTACGCCAAATCGCTATCAAATCTATATCAAAAAGAAGCCCAACAAATTTTATGAAGAGTATTTTCTCTAAAAATGGGTCCAAAGTGTTTAATAAATGTTTTTAAGCAAAAAATTTGAATTTAAATAGTAAAAATGACATTCTATGGTTATCAAACTATCAAACTATTGAACTATTTAAGAGGATTACTTTGATATAATTTTGATGGCATTTGAACCGATAGTTTTGGCGTAGTTTTTGGTTTATTACAAACAGCAAAAACAAATCTATTTTAGTTTAAAATTTTGAAAATTGTACCAAATTGATTCTGGTTTAACTCTAACCAAGTTTTGTCTTCATCATTTTCCACTTAAATTTAACCCAAAGTGAGAAAAATGCGTTTTAGGTTTCAAATTTAATGCATTTGGCCGGATAATTTAAATCAGCTCTGTATTGAAGTCGAGTTATATAGATTTTTTGATTCAATGGGAATTTTATTCAACCTGATTCAAGTTAAATCTTATCAATGAAATCGAATTTTATTTCCACCAGAATCATGTTATTTTTACAAATTCGAGAATAGTGAATTTTTCAAGTGCGATTTGATTTTGCGGGCATACTTTGTTCCTCTATTTTATGAAAAAGGGCTCTTCTTAATCCATTTAATGAAAAGTGTCCCTTAATTGGGGCAGATCTTTTCGAGAAAATTTAGTAATCAGAAAACGACTCATTAATCACACAAAAACTCTTTGACGGATTAGGTTTCATATTAACCCCAGATATTCAAGTTGCTAATTAGATGAACTTTTCAATTTGACGTTGAATCATGTACATAGATGGACAAGTATGCTGAGATGTCCTTATATAGTTCATCTGGAAAAAAGTTGTATTTTTTGTTTCCTCCAAATTTGCCTAATGTTTTGCTTTGATTTGCTTCCGTTTTTTTCGTTATCTATTATATATTTAAATGCGGGCTTCACTATCTTGCCATGGTTAAGCTTTTTCAACGTATTATTTTTGCATGTTTAAGCTATATCGTATATTGCAATGGTTAAGATTTTGTTTTCGATTTTCCAGTTCAAATTCAATGTTTATTTTACCAAGTTTGAAATTAGCAACCCAATATTTGGATGCTGTCAGGGCTTCCCCAGGTGTTGCGATTGTAGCCCCCATATATGTGTTACCAAATCTTTTTAGCTTACGAGATACGGCAATTTTCGAGATTTTTCAAAAGTTTTTAAAAAAATAACTTGAAAAAAATATCACAAAATATGAAATTCTCAACCCTGTACTTGGGTGCTGTCAGGGTACTCTCAGGGATTGCGATTCTTGCCTCCAAATTTCACTTCTCGAATCTTTGTCGTTTTCGTGACATGACGTTTTTTATGATTTTTTCAAAAATTTTCAAAAAAACATTATTTTTATAAAATTCGAAAATTTTGTGACGTTCTCAATCCTGTTATTGGACACTGCGAGGGTACTATCAGGGCTCGCGACTCTTGCCTCTGAGTATGACTGCTCAAATCATTGTAGTTTTGGAGATATGACGGTTTTCAGGATTTTTTCTTAAGTTTTTCAAAGAACTTAGATATAGAAAAATTCACAAAATTTGAAGTTCTCATCTCTATAGTGAGGCTCTGTCAGGGTAATACCAGGAGTATTTTTCCTCCAAATGTGACCTGCTCAAATCCTTGTACTTTTCGAGGTATGACGTTTTTTGTGATTTTTTTCGAAAAAAAATTCAGAAAAGTTGTACTTAATTTTTCAAAATTTGAAATTCATATTTCTGTAATGGGGGCTCTCAGAGTACTATCAGGGTTTGTGTATCTCGCCTCCAAACATGACTGCTCCAATCCTTGTAGTTTTCGTGATATGAAGTGTTTTATGATTTCTTTTTAATTTTTCAGAAAACTTGGATTTTAAAAAGTTCAAAGGATTTGAAATTCTCAAATTTGTAGTTGGGTACGGTGAGGGTACTCTCAGAAGTTGCAACTCTGGCGTCCAAATGCGACTGTTCAATTGCTTTTAGTTTTCGAGATGTGACGTTTTTTGTCATTTTAAAAATTTTTAATGAACTCATATAAAAAAAATCACAAAATTGCAGAACTGATATAAAAAAAATTTCAAAATTTCAATTAAAAAAAACTTGACTAACTTTACAAAATTTGAAATTACCAACCCTGTGTAATACTTGGGTTATGTCAGATTACACTCAAAGGATGCAAATATTATTTCCAATATATGCCGTTTTTATGAGTTGTCGTAAATTCGAAGCACCGGAGGTGCGTTACATGCTAGTTTTAATTTAATTGCTCATTTATAGTTTTCTATCTTTCCATTTGTCAACTATAAGAGTTCTATTTCTCTTCTAGCAAAAAACTGGACGATGAGTTGCTGGCTTACATCAAAGAGGAAGCGATGAACCCGAACCGAGCCAGACCCACCGAGGACCCAGAGTACATCAAGCCCAGATCCAACGGCAAGTACATCCGGAAGATCCAGCAGAGAACGAGGGAAGATGAGGAGGCGAAAGTGGAGCGGGAGAAGAGGAGGCGGAAGGTGCTGGTGGACCAGCTGAAGGCTCACGAGGCACAGGAGGTGAGGTGTTATTACAAAAGCTGAGTGTCACTTAGTTTTCAACTTAAGTCAATTCAATTCGCAAATAAAAGTGTTCATTAAATCATTCAAAGTGTTCACTCATCCTGTTACTGTATAGCATGTGCTCTAGATCCGCTTAGTTAGTGTCAAGTGTTTACACATCTAATAGAGCATTTGTTCACAGATTCCAGTACACGTGCATTCTATTGTGTCCACGTGCTTCCGTTCAGCGAAAAACTTACGTTCAACGGTCTACTTCGTTCGTTTTACAGTTTGTTTACATGAAATAAAAATAGTTTTTGTCGGCTTAGGTTCTAATTTTTTTTCAAAGGCAGGTTAGGTCAAGTAATTGCATTTTCAAGAGTGATACACGAAAACTCCATTTCCAATTCAAAATCCATCAAACAAAGTTACCGGTTTTTTTTCGATTAATCCGTTACCCTCTAAAATGTCCGTTTTATTTAACATTTTTTAACAAAAATTTCGCCTAGACGTATTTTTTAAAATTCTGCAGACTTAATTCAAAAATTGACTGCATGTAGTTTACATGTTTGAAATTTCTTTCGAGAATTTCTGAATTTTTCTCCAAAATGTTTGTTTGAAAATGCAATTTTTGGTTCTTGTTTTTTTGTCGTTTCCATTATTTTTTTTCAATTTTATTGATTCTGATTTTTGTATTGTCGTTGTTCTGTTTTAGCTAAGAATCTCAATTTCAATCTTTTGAGGACCCTGGTTTCTGTTGCGAAGTCAAGCAAAAGTCTGCCTCGCATTTTTTTTGGATAGTTATTAGTGCAAGTTCTGTATGATCCTCTACACGTCAAAAAACATAAAATTGGCCCATTTTGAATGTGAACTGTTTGTAGTATTATCTGTCTTCCACTTTTGCATTTTATTTTCATTTTGGCAATTTTTTGAAAAGTGTTTTTTTTTATTTTTCATTAAAAAAAGTTTTGATTTTTCACTTTTTATGATTTTTCACAATCAAATAGTCGAAATAACTGATTCCGCTTATTTAGACCTGATGTAACGAAAATTGTGGGAATTTTCCCTCTACCAGTAAGTCTTTCAGGAAAATTTGCTGAAATATTTAGACTTATTTTTTTTGCTTGATTTCGTTAACTATTTTTTCCTTGAAGTTAATTTTGAAAGTTTGTAGTATACTACAGATTTTTTTTTGCTTTATCAGTCTTTTAGCTGCTTGATGAGTCGGAAGTGGTGAGAAGCTCAGCTTCGCCTCTGTGTATAGATTGTTTTAACTTTTGAAGACTTTCTTTTTTTTCTTAGTTGTTTCATGTTTTCAATTTCCATTTTTGGAAACCACTCTATCTTTTGAATATTTCCAGGTTACACCTAATTCGCGTTGACCAAACTCGAGAGATTTTTGTTCCAAAAAAGAACTTATCCAACATAATCATTGCATCGAAAATTAATTTGCTTATAAATGAAATCAGCTCTACCAGCTGAATCTGCGCATTTGGAACCTAGTTTAAGTTATGGGTTAGGACAATTAGGGTGATTGGTTTGAGCCAGGCCTGGTTTTTTTCTCTACTTTGTCAAATCGAAAATTTTCGGAAGAAAAGAAAAGAACTTAATTTACTGTATATAAAAGCAGTTGCATAGTCATAAACTAGACAAAAATGTGTTTAAAGTTGGTTAGGCCTATTACTCTATTGATCGCGTGTTTCAATTGCTAAAGAACGTCTTGATTTTTTAAAAGGAAAAATTCTGAAAAGATGCTCACGCTAAAATTTGATTTCACGCTGCTTGACCTTTAATTTCTTTTAAGTTAAGTTTATTTTTGTTTGCTTAAACAAGAGTAAATTTTGCTCTGGAATAGCAAAATTTCAAAAAGCTAGAAAAACATGAATGAATTCAAGTTTCCAAAATTGTTTTTTTTATATACTTGCCAGCGATCCCTAGCAGATAGAGATCACCTATGTCAAAGAGCTCTAAGTGGTGTTTTTTTTCCAAAATTTGAAAGTTGAAAATTGTTTGAAATAAGACAACCTTTTTTTTTGCAATCTCCTTGAGTTCGTGGAATCTTTTCCAACAGTCTTTGGCTGTTTTTGGATAATAATTTGAAAATAGATAAATAAAAAAACAAAAAAACCACCGTTGCTTTAAAAAGATAATCACTGAAAAATTAAACCTAAAGTTATCGTTAAAAAATATTTAACTAATAAAACGGAATTCTCGCATGAAATACAATTTTAAATAGTTTCAATGAAATTTTGTTTGGGTTATTTGTGTCACTGCCTTACTTTTGTTGGTGTTGTTACCTTGTCAGGATTGTCTTTTTCTATGCATCATTATTTTGCTCCTGTGTTATATATTTTGTCAGATATGTTCCTAATGATAGGTCAGATAGATGTAAAATGTTTTGCGAAATGTTTTTATGAGTTTTTTGACAAATTTTAGCTTATGATTCTATTGTTTTTTAAATACTTTTTGATAAGTTCCTAGTGATGCAAGTAATTTAATTTTTCAAAATTGTGTGAGCATTTGTTTTATTGAAAGTAAATTTTACATGGATGACAGTTTTTATGAAACAAATTTACTATCAAAAATGTATTAGTTTCCTCTTTGTCAATATCTTTCCATGATTGCATTGAAGACTTTTATCTAGTTTTTTGATTTTCCGTATTTTTTTCTGAAAATTCTTTAATAAGTACAGAAAAGCATTCCTTCATATTAATGCATTTATTATTGCACTTAGGTATATGTGCAGTTTTTGAGTTCAATTCGCATTCTTCTTCTAAAATTTATTTAAATTAACCTCTCCAATTGCGCACTGCATACAGGCCATGAAGATTTATTGATTTTTTTTCCAGAAAAATTCCTTAAGTTTGTGCAGGCTCAGATTTACTGTTAAGCTCATTTCTTTTCTTAAATGGGAAGCAAACTCCGCTATCGAACAGCAAAAAAGACGTGATCGACTTTTTGTTTCGAAAATATAGTTAAGTTTTCAGATTTCCCGGCAAAATAAAAAGTTTATCTATTGATCCAGTTTTCTCAAAATGAGTTACTATATTCAAAAAAGTGTTGCTCATTACTTATTGTAGAAATTGAAAGAGCTTCAAGGACATCTGTTTTTTTTCTTCGAAATTTGAAAGTTGAGATTTTTTGAAAAATAACAAGTCATCCTTTTTCTATTAACTTGTGTTCATTGAAATTTTTCCAAACTGTCTGTCGGCTATGTTTGTAGTAATATAGATTTCCTTTTTCAGTTTATTTTAGCAGTTCGGTTAAATTAATAGTTTCCTTTCATTGTGGGTTTTTTTTTCACTACACCTCCAATCAAAAGCTCGGTATTTCGAGTTTCACTGTGGTCCTGACTTGTCGCTTGAGGGTGTGTCACAATTGCACATGCCAGAAAAATAGCCATAAATTAGCTTGAAGATCGTAATCATTGCACATCAGTGGTTCTCTTAAACAAGTCAGTTGAGCTATGAGCTTGTTTGTTTCTTCTGTCGAAGTTAGCAAGTGTGGCTCTCGTTCCGATAGAGGGGGTTCGATCCCCCTAGTGGCCCCTTTTTTGCGTAGCCAAATTTCATTAATATAATAATTTTTATTATTCAGTTTAATAGCATAACTATGGTAAATTTTCTAGTAAATTACAAGGGTAGACATAGAGCAGATCAGCTGATCTTGTTATCTACCCCTTCCGATGGTTTCCGAGTATTTTCAAGGGTAACCAAGTATTTTGTTTGTTATGCAATGTATACTCTTGGATAATTTAATTCTTCTTCTTCTTTCAATGGTGTTTGAAACTTCAGGACGCGCGGAGGGAGGAGGAGATTGTGAACAGACTGATGCGCCAGAGCCAGGTGGAGAGACGGATAGTGGTCCAGTTACTCCAGACCAGACAAGAAAAGGCAGTCATCCTCGAGAACCGGAAGTTGAGGGAGCAGCAGTACCAGGAGAGACGCAGGAAGGAGTTCGAAGACGCCCTCAATGTCGAAGCGGTCAGTTACTCGTCTGTGTTTTGAAGTATATTTACAACATACTATATTACTTGATGATTGTTCTCGTTGCTTACGGGTGAAGTAACATTACCCAGCTCAGAAATTTAGCCAAAAAAATGCATTTAGTTCTTAAGCAGGAGTGCAACAGCGGTTCTCCGTGATGATCTGAACTGCTCGTATGTTGGTCCTTTCCCTTGACGATAAATCGTCTTAAGAATAGCCCCCTCCGATCTTGTTACCAACCCCCTCCATCCTTCTCCTTAAGTAGTTATCAAGCTCCGCCTTTCCCCCACCTACTTTTTGTTGTCTGTCTAGGAGATGGCGAAGCTGGCACGTGAGAGATACGCGAGTGAGCTGGACGAGGCGAAGCGGGAGCACAAGAGGATCATGGACGAGAGGAGGCGACAGCAGTACGAGAAGCACTACACCATCTGCCACAAAGTCACTCTGGATATTGTGGACTACGCATGCAAGTTCGGAGAGTACAGAGAACTCACAGGGGGGTAAGTTCAGCGTGTATGATCAAATAAGATTTACCTGAATGGTCAAACATTAACTCATATTTTATCAAATGTATGATCCTGTATGATCAAACATGAACTCATATTTGATCAGTTATATGATCATGTATGATCAAATATGAACCCGCATTTGATCAAATATGAGTTCTCTTGCAGGGAAGCGTAAGAGAAAGTTTAACGGTGCACAAGTAAAAATAATGACATAAACACAAGCAAATGAAACCTTCTTTTGCCGTTTATTTGCTTGTGTATGCTCTGTAGTTGATAAGCTATCCGGATTGAGTAGCTCGGCTTATGTTTCGACTTTGAAAGTCGAGAAGGTGCAGTTTTTGACTGAAAATCCGCGGTAGTGAAGCAGATTTAAGTCGATCACAAAGTCGAAACATACACGATTTCGGTCGAGAGATAGGTCGAGCACATTCGAATCATACCTGACTTTGGCCGAGAGAGTCGAAATCTAGGTTGGGAAGTTTCTTCAAATATCAGTTTTCAGATGAACAAACAATTTCCGTCCAGATTTAAGGTACAATTGGAAGGTTCAATTTGCCAAAGTTAGTTTTCGATGCAGGATTTTCGCATTTTACTGATTCGTTTATATTTAATTCAACCGTCATCACAAAAAGTTAACTAAAAATATACATTATAATTTTTTGTCAATTTACTCATGTTATTTGATAGTCGAAAAAGTCAAAACATAAGTTGAGTGCTTTTTTGGGTGGACAAAGTCGAAGCATACCAAAGTTTGGACAAAAAGTGGAAACACCGAAATTTGGTAGAAACATACCGAGCATACCGAAATTTGGTCTGGACGGTCAAAACATACCGCTTCTTGGTCAAGAAATTTGACCCGGGTAGTTAGGTCGATTAACATAATCAATTTTTTCTTTCGAGAAAATCGAGATAGTCAAGAAATAACCACTTTCGGTCGAGAAATTTGGTACTTTTCTTTGCGGCGTCGAAAAATATATTTAAAAAAACTGGGTAGGTAAAGTTGAAACATATCTGATCTGGGTCGAGCAAAATTGAACAATTTTGGCTTGTGTCGATAAAGTCGAAACGTACCAAAATTTGTTCGAGAAAGTCGAAACATACTAGATTTTAGTTAAGAAAAAAATTAAACATGCCAAAAGTTGACCTAGACGGTCGAAATATACCGATTTTTTGTCGAGAAAGTGGAAACATAAATCGAGCGCCTCAACACAGGTAGTAGCCTTCTAAGTTTAAATTGTTCCTCGAAAAATTATTCCAAGTGTGATTTTCTCACCAGACAAATACTGTTAAGTCTATCACCGTCTAAGCTGTCGATTAGTAAACGAATTGCAGGTTTTTAGACTTTTAAACATTTCTATGCTAGGTGATAAAAAGAATCAAGAAATAAATATAAATTTTGTTATCCAAAAGAAAGTTGGTATTATTTATTTATTTTGTGCAAAAAATAGAAAAGTGAAAGCGAAGGGAAAATGGAAAATTTCAGAGGTCACCTCATTGAAAAAGGGGAAGAAAATTTGAGCAAAAAATAAAAGTTTGAGATTAGGCGAATATGTATAAAATTAGTTTATTTAAAACTATAATTAAAATGTTCTGTTTTAATTACTAGAGCTGTTGTGAAAATGAAGCAAGTTAACAAACCAATAAGTGATTTGATAAACTCATTAAATGAGGGGAGAAAAAATCAAAACAAGATTTATCGAAGGTTTTACTTATCAGTAGTGATTCAATCGAAGCGGTCCGAAATATTAAGGGCTCCTTTCTGATACGAGTAGTCTTTCTAGTTGTTTTCAAAAATGGAATTGGCCATTGTTCTGACTTTTGAAGAAAGTGACGGAATATTTTTGCTCGGGTGTTTTTTTTTCTCCAGACAAGTTTCGACTTTTCAACTAGCCATTTTGACGGTTTTGTTTGTCATCTGAAAGGTATTGTTGTGCTGAGCTCAAAAGTATTGCTGAGCTCAAATTTGAAAATAGATTTCACCTCTGATAATTTTTTGTGAAGTTATGTTGGTTTAAATATTACCATTTTGGCCATTTTCGGACAACTAACGCGCGATATATTTCGTGCTATTAATGCGGAGATTTAATCCGTCTTAGAAATTATTCCAAATTGAACTGAGGCATGCTATTTCTCTATTTAAAACTTTGCTATTTGCGAAAATATTATTTTGTTTTTTACATAGCGTGTGGGGGACTATTTTCGAAAATCACAAAAAAAATTTTGGTTTTTTTTTCTTCGAAGTTTTCATCTTTTTTAAAGCGAAGGCTATTGAATATAACTTCAAAGGCATTCGAAACATTCAGGGCGTCGCCCTGATACGAGCAGTCTTGTGTATTGTAGTAGTTACATTTAAGAAAGCTTTGTTTTAGTACGGTTTTTGTATGTTATTAAAAAAACTCGGAAAATGAAGGTTCTTTCAAAAAATATTCTAGAAAGTATTTAAACTAATTTCACTGATCGAAAAAATAGCTCTCAGCAATTGTTTGTATACTTCATTGAAGATATCGACTATCTGAGTTCAAATGTAAAAAGATTTTAAACCTGTCATCTTTTTTGGTCAAGTTCGCGGGTTGTTGCAAAGTTGAAATTTTAGCTTTAATGTGGATAATTTTATGCGCGCTTTGAAGATTGTTTATGCGATGTTGAGACTATAATGTGAATTGTTTTTGCTTGGCAAATTATCTCGCCTTTAAATTTGTTTCAAATTGAATTGAGGTAATTTCGTTGTCACTGTTTTTCTCTGCATGACTCAAATTTCAGCGCTTTCTAGTTTAAATTGTCTGTTGGTTGACAAAAACTAATAATTCAAGTATTTAAGATTGTCAAAAATTTTACCAAAACTATTTCAGACCAATTACACGATATAACCAGATATACGGCTTTGCCCAGATATACGAGCATAGTCGTCTTTGTGTTAGCGCAGTTCAACTTAAATGCAATATTTTTTTCGCTTTCCCACAGCAATGTCAAATTAGACAAGACTGCTCGTATCAGGGCGAAGCCCTGAATGTTCCCACTGCCTTTTAAGGTTTATGGAGCAGTAATAATATTTTAAAAATCAATGAAATAAAACAAAATGAAAAAAAATCTAAAATTTGAATTTTTTTATGAAAATCATCACCCCACACGCCATATAAAGTACAACAGGATAGATTTTACTCCTTGTAACAAACCAATTATGGCAAATAAGCTCCTGTTAACCAATTTGGAACGATTTCTAAGACGGATTAAATCTCCACATACGCGTTAATAGCGCGAATTATATCGCGCGTTAATTGTCCCAGATTGCCAAAATGGCAATCTTTAAACCCTCATAGCGTTACGAAAAAATGATCACAGGTGAAATATCTTTTCAACTTTAAGCTCAGCACAACAAAACTTTTGAATGATATGTAAAAATTTTTATCAAAAATGGCTATTAAAAAGTCGAAGTTTGTCTGAAGAAAAAAAAACCCATCCCGAGCACAAATATTCCGTTACTTTCGTATCGAAAGTCGGAACAAAAAGGCAGATGATTTAGGGAAGCTTTTTAAAAGGCAACCCTCAAAATAAAAATAATGTATTAGCACACGTTTCCGATTAATTTTTTCAGTTTTTGCTGGTTCTTTGTCCCGTTCACTTTTTGAATAGTTATCCTCTCATATTTGAAACCGCTTTTATCATTCTTTATCCAATACATTAAATCCAAGGTAAAAGTTTTCTGTTAATTTCAAAGGCTGTCACCGTGTCAAACACAGGCGAAGCTGCCACTTACATACAAAATGAAATACTCCGTAATAGGAACTCTTAAAGTTCTAGAGTATGAAAAAGTGGAGTGAAAACTAAATATTGCAACTATGCGGGGGTGGATTGTACCTGAGATCGTTACTATAGTTACCATCCATCCCTTGTGAGGGGTCATAGGTCAACCAGTGTATATCACAGCGGAAACTTATCCAATAAACTAACCTTAATAATATGGGACGAGATTTGTTTTATTACATTTGGTTTTTTTTAGTCTGGTGCCGCACAAGCTGTTCCGAGAATGGACTGCTATGTTCCTCAATGAAGTTGCCATATACCCCGACATAGAGGTAAGAATAATCAGATCAGTCATTTTGTTTATTATAGAAATATGTATGAATATTGTCAGTCATACATTCGTAGAAGAAGAAGAGTTTATTTATCCAAGTCACACCAAACAACATCAAATTGTTTGGTGTTACCAAACAAAATCAAACAGCATTAAAAAATTTTTACTAGAAATTAGAAACTTGTGCGAACTTTACAAGTACCAGACTTTGGGGTACATAGACGCGGGGCTTAGAGATTGCCCACAAAGAGTATACCCAATAAGCATATCAATGAAAACTTAAGATAATTTTTTAAAATAATTTTCATTTAGTTATTTTTATGATTTGTTTTGTAATTTTTAAGCCAGACTTAAACGAAATAAAAAGTTATTAAGAGATAAGAAATGCTAGTGTAATAGTCGGACAGCATTTAGCTAGATGGATAAAATTGGACAATTAAAAAATTACTTAAACTTTCCAAAAAAACTTGAAATAAACTTTTAAATAACTTTCTAAAACTTTCCAAAAAATCATAAAAATTGAGACATCTCAAAAAATTACCAGGATTTAAGACTTCATATTTTCAGCCATGATTCGCAAGGGAGGGAGGGAGGGAGGGAGGGGGAAATAGAGCCGATCACTGCAATCACTGCAAAAGAAAAGAAAAAATACTTTTTTTAATTTATCATACTCACAATCACCGTATTCAGTAGCCTGTTTTCTATGTATGAATTGAGATGCGGTTGAACATACTTAAATAAAAAGGAAGCGGAAAGAGGTTTATTTGCTTTTTCATCCATAACCAAGAATTTCGAACTCAAACCTTGAAGAAAATCAATCTCAATCTCTTCTACTGGATGGAAGTTTCAATTGATTTCAAGTCATGCTAGTTAGGAAATCTGTAAACTGCGGATGACAATGTATGTAGTGGCAGCCAATTCTAGCCTTGTCATGCCACATTGTCGAAAAATAAAATGTAGTTAAAAACAATCAGTTGCGTTGAGTCCTAATCAAAACTGCTTGAAAAGTAAAATGAGCATGATTTTATGTTTTGGTTTATGTTAGTTTTTGATTTGATTGTTTTGTGTTGTTGAGATTTCAATACTGAATTTTTGTAATATATCTGAATTTCGGAATTTTTTAACTCATTTTTTTTCATATGGCCATAAAACACTGGTTCTTACAAGACAATAGGTTGCCAATATTTTGATTCGTCTCAAAAATTTTAATTTCATTTCAGTTTTCGACTACTTGAATTAGGGTTACTAAATTAAATCGTTCTTGAAAATAATTGTTAATCTGTGGTTTCAGTTAATAGGAAATTTTCGTGAGTTTGAGTTGAAATTTGTGTATTGATAACTTAAAGGTTCAAAAAATATATATTTTTTGAATATAGTTCTACCGTTTTTTCGACAAAAAAGTCCATATCAAAGCCAACAGTTTCTTTTTTATTTCTTAGATATCACCAAGTGCTTCAAAAGCAGACTTAATGTTTTTGGTTAATATTGATGAAGAATATAAGGCAGTTTGTTTCTTTCGAAATCAATGATGTTTTGTACTTTTTGAAAGTAACTTCTTTTGAAAATTTTCAATTCCCTTAAATTATACAAATCTAAAGTCAAAATGATTCCGTACGTTTGTGAACGAGCGCGAGCTGCAGGGTTCGCTAGCGTTGCGCTCAGGGCATGCATCGTAGCCACTGGGACTGCACTAAAATTTCTTCATATCTCTCTTGTACCTGTATGTTAAACCCATTCATTGTAAACGGAAAACATATTTCTGTTTGTCAAACTAAATTTTTTTGTGCGTCAAACAAATTTTTTTGTGCGGCAAACTAAATTTTTCTGTGCGTCAAATTTTTTTTTGTTCGTCAAAATAGCTCACACTTTCATTGAACGAACATGGTCAACAGACAGGCGGCAAAGCTTAAGGATCCCAAGAACACCTGAAAATGATTACCTTTTGAATTTCGTCCACACTTTTTGATGATACTAGCCTGATTTGAGGAACTGGATAATTAATTTAGTTTTGACATAAAAATTCGAGTGCCATTCTTGGCCTCATTACCAGTTTTGCTATTAAACAATGAAATTTGATTCTGTATAAGAATAACAAGACTGCTCGTATCAGGGCGAAAAAATTAAATGAAATAAAATGAAATTTTATTATATGAAATAAAATAAAATGAAATTTTTTTATTCTAAAATTTTAAATTTTTTTATGAAAATCATCCCCTCACAGGCCATATAAAGTACAAAAAGAGAGATTTCGTTCCTTATAACAAATCAATTATGGCAAATAAGCTTCTTTCAACCAATTTGGAACGATTTATAAGACGGATTAAATCTCCGCTTACGCGTTAAAAGCGCGAGCGAATTATATCGCGCGCTAATTGTCCCAAATTGGTCAAAATGGCCAAAATGGCAATCTTTAAACCCTCATAACTTTACGAAAAATGATCACAGTGAAATATCTTTTCAAATTTGAGCTCAGGACAACAATACCTTTCGAATGATGTAGAAAAAATTCCGTCAAAAATGGCTAGTTAAAAAGTCGAAATTTGTCTGAAGAAAACAAAACCCCACCCCGAGCACAAATATTCCGTTACTTTCGTATCGAAAGTCGGAACAATAATAATCTGTAGTGTTTAGCCTCTACGTAAGAACTCGATAGGGGAATAAAGCACAATGGTTTTTCGTAAGGTAATAGTGAGTACTAAATAGATATGTTTTTGTGTTCTTGAATTAATTATGGAACAATAGAACAACATATACTAGGTTGCATGCGTGAGGCGACAATTCGTAAGAGGCGACAATTCTCAACAATAGATCCAGCCATAATGTCCGTTACGAATTGTCGCCCTACCACTGCATGTACAAAATTGCACCATGGACTAGCCCAAAAATATATTCATAATGATAGCCCTCAAAATTCTTGATAAATTGACTAACTGTCGCGAATTTTTAGAGCATCCAAAAGTTAGAAGATGGTTGTGTTTTAAGAATGAACGAAAATGCTTTTCGCGGAAATTTTTGCTCAGAAATTCTCTCAAATCTGCAAGTGTTTTTCAGTGGCTTAGATTTGTAAAAATTGACCTAGTATGTATTTTGCCTTATAGACCATCAGACATATCTTTTCTGAAACGTTGTATTCGGGTGTCTATATGAGGCCAAATTGTGCATTTTGGGAATTGTAAGCAGATTCCGCAACAAGGATGCTCCCTTTGTTCTTATTTTGTTCTTTCATTTTCTTTGATTGTTCCGCCAAATCTTTGAAATGTTTAAAGACTTGTCTCAGGAAACCAGGAAGATGAAGACGCAAAATTATGCGCCTATCCTGTGCACAGTTTGGCCTCGTAATGGTGTTTTAGTTTTTTCTCTTTTTTTGTTTTCCACGCAACATCAGCTACCACAATTAAATCATCGGTGAGAATCAAGTGATATCTCATATTAAAGCTATTTCAGCCGTAATTCTGAAAAAGTTTTCCCAGTGATGAGAAAAACCGGTTTGAAGTTCTTTGATTTTTCGTTTACATTCGAGCGAGTAAGGCGAGCGAGCACGCTTATTTACGACTAATTTAGACCGTTTACAATAGCCTATTTATGCTTAATTTTCTTTTTACTCAAGTAAAGTCAGTTTTTGGAGATTTTCAATACCCTTTTAGAAATCGAAAACTTCTAAATTTCAGCAAAAAAAAAATTTTAAAAAAAAAAGTTTAGTTTCCATGAATCTGATTCCATCACTTCCCAAAAACTCGTTTTAGTCCTATTTTACGACGTCAATTCTTGACTAGCTGCATTTCTTTTCTTGAATGCGCCTTAGGCCATTGTGTACTTTAATAAAGGAGCATGCAAGCAACAACGAATGCATATTTTTGCCAAAATTTTCCAAGAGAGGCATAAAAACAACTTGTCTGCTCGAGATCGGCTTTTTTTTCGTGGTGTCAAAAGTGTTCAAAGCTTCCCTGTCCGTCGATTTTTCTCTGTGTTTCGGTAGATTAAAACCACGCTTTTAATTGATTCTCTAAGCGTCTGATAATATGAATCTGTGAAACAATTAAGTTTATTTAAACAATGTGAATGTGTTAACTTACCTAGACACCTGTCCCAAATAAGAGGTTGAAGTCCAGCATCGTATCTTTTTCTATGCATCTTAATTATTCGAGAACAATTAAGGGCTACTTGGAGCATTCAGGGCTTTGTCATTCAGGGATTTGATATACGAGCAGTCTTGTTTATTTCAAATTTGCCTCCTACATGTTAAACGGTAATGCCTAATGGAATTATTGTGCGACAACTGAGATTAAATGTCAGAGAATACAAAAGATATCAATTCGAAGAAAGTTGTCTAATTTGTTGGCCCGAAAACTTGCCAAGTTGATTATTGGTGTTGCACCATAAATATTACTCCATGGGAAACGCGAGGAGGCACAAACTTATACGCTTAAGAAAAGAATATAAGAATATATCCCACCTATACGCGGGAATCAATACTGGATATCGTTGCATGCTAAATTAAAAGGTCCGTAGTTGATGTATGCAAGGCTCTCTCGAATTACTGCTAATGTTAAGTTCAATACTAACAGAGCAGCTCTCATGTTCTGCTTTTGAAAGATTCTCTCTCTACTCCTTCAGATAATGCTTGAAAGTTTTGCAAAAAAAACTGAAAATCGGTCATCGATATAGAAAGCCTGCAGTTGGTGGCTCAATTGACAACAACACTCACCGAAACGCCCTTGAACTGTTAATGAGAACTATCAAAATTGGCATCATAACTTCATTAGGGCGTTTGAGTGAATTTTTTCACTTATTTTGTCCCCTACTTTAAGTTGAATTTAGTTACGAGCTTGCAATATCTTCCCAGAAGTGACAATTGAATGGAAGGAATGTCTTCTAAGAGTTCATTTTTCTTCTTGAATATCTAACCATTTTTTTGTATAAAAAATTAAAACTCTACAATAAAAGAAGTCTGTCACAGTCGCTCAAACCTCAAATCCTATCATATTGACTTTTTCTCAGAATACATTTAATTTGTGTTTTCATAATCCCGCATAATTAGCTAATTCGAAAGTGTTAGTTAAAAAGTGTTTTCAAATGTGAAACTTCTGTTGTTTTTCAGGAGAAAAATAAGGTAAATAATCTGTGTGATATTTAACCTAAACACTTCTTTTTCAACACAATCGGGTTCCTCTAACTGATTAATTTTTAAGCTCAACTTCTGAAAAACTAACTCTATCTCCGACTATGGAAAATCATGAGACATCAGTATTGTTCATGATATTTGATTTGCTCATTTGTTTGTACTAATCTTGAAAAATGAATTCCAGGAAGAGACGGTCGAAGACTGGCTGGAAAAGGAGCGTGAACAGCTGCTGAACGAGGGAGATTTCACCGAGTACAAGGTAATCATCTATACAAGCTTCGTTTATGTTTGAAAAAACAAAAGATTTACTGTCGATGTTGTTTTTCTTACCATTTGTTCAAAATGCATCTTTTCACAAACTAAAAAGTCGTTGACCCATAAGAAGTCATACGTCACTTCTCTGGAAATGATTGGGGTAGCATATTTCATATTTGTTACATTTAGTTTTTTTTCCGCCGAATCTGAGCTCTCGGCTAATTTCCACTTTCCCCGCATTTGAATTTTTCTGATTTTATGGTTGTTTTACGTGGTTTAACGGCTAATGTTTTGCGTGGTTTAACGGCTAAATGCGTGATGTTACGATGTAAGTTATATCAAACAAATGCGTTCACTCAGGAAGAAGGAAGAAAAAAGAGCCGAAAGGTGTCAAAATTTACGTGCTGGAAAAGTTTGATTAAAAAAATCCTATAGATTTTTTTTGGAGCTCGCGGCTCTTTTTCCTTCCCCCCACCACCTGCAAATTTTTATAAGTAAATTTGTTGACCACATCGTCCGATTGTTATGAAAATTTATATACAGACTAATAACGCCACGACAAACCTATTTGGTTTTCATAATCAACCTCATAAAACCACTCGTTCCACTAAAAAATTGAAGCTCGCATGAGGTGAGGGTGCAAAGAAAAAGAGCCGAGCTCGCATCAACCTCAAAATTATTTACATTGGCCCCAAAAGGCTTCTAGAAAAATGGAAGATTTAGTCGAATGAAAAATATATTTCGAGAAATTTCGAATGAGGAAATAGGACACCCTTCGAGTGCTCAGGGGGCCGAACTCCTGAGGGGGGGGGGGGGGGGGGGTGGGGTGTGCGTGTCTGCTTGCCATCAGACTCCCCCGGATTCCATTTTTAGGCTCTATTCCAACCACATATACCTTTCAATTTTTAACATCTACTAAATTTGAAATGTGTGTGGTGTGTGTATGTGCGTGTGTGTGTGTGTGGATGGGGGGAGGGGGGCTAGTGGAAACGAGCCCATTTCTAATTATCAGTCTATATCAATCTTCTTTTTAGGGTTTATGCCCATTTAGATTTTATAAACCATGTTCTGTGTTCTGTAAAAGCATGCCAATGTGGGGCCTTGTTTTGAAATTTTTGACAAAAAGCATTTCTTCAGCGTGCAAAAATCTAATAATCCGTAACGTTTTTTGAAAAGTCTAAGAAATGAAATTGCCATTTAAGACTAAATTGTACTTGCATAGTTTCCGTTGATCCATTATGCTCAGCAGGGCGTGATTTAATCCGCGCTCAAAATCATTTCAAATTGAATTGAGACAATTCCTGATTGTTACAATTCATGCATATCACTAGGCGCATTGTATTACGCTTAGTACTTGAAATTGCGTTCGGGATTTTAAAATAAACGAAAAAATTTCATATTAAATTTTTTTCAATCAACATAAGATAAACTGAAAGGCTGTTGCATCAATACACTTGCGAATCAAAGTGTATTAGTACGAACTTTCTTTTTGTCCAACATAAGTCGCAAACAAAACGTTTCTTTTTGGTGTCACTTTTGAATAGTTAGGCTGCCGTAGCAGTATAATGTTACGTGCTTTGACATTTGATTAGTAAAAAGTTTACACAGCTGATGCATTTTTAATGCATCAAATGAACCGAAAAAGTTATTTGTTTCAAACAGCAGTACAATGATAAAAAGCTCGATTTCAGAAATTTTCCAACTCAATGTATCTCTCAATTTGTTTTAAATGCATAGTTTATACATAATTTGGCTTTTTTGTTCCAATTTATTAGATCCAAAATTGTGTCCTTTTGTATCTGGTGCTACTTTTGCTGCATCGAATTGGCAACTTTTTAGCACATGCAGATGTGTTCTTGGTGGCTAGTTTTCGGGGATTTTAATCATACGTGGCTGAGTGGTTAGTGCGTGTGACCCAAATTTGCTAGGTCACAGATTCGAATCCGTCACGTAGCCGGGTTTTTGGTAATTCGAGACTTTTTGCTACTTCTTCTTATTTATTTAGAGCTGCTTTTTGGTCGTGTTCTCGCAAGTGTTTGCGAAGTACAGCTTCGCCTCTGTGTTATACTTTTACAAATTAAATTGAGTAAAAAAAGCTGAAAATCAAATTGTTTTGATAGTTTTTAATTTTTAAGACTTTAATTTTTTTCCACGGGAATAAACATGATTTTTTTAGAAAAGGGCTGTAATTTTGTCAGTTTCTCATAAGACTTGTAGTTTGATATTTTTTCGCAAAATCAAACGCAGAGCATAAAGAAAAAATGTGATAAAAAAGTGTAAAAAATGAACAATTCGACTTTAAGAGAAATTTGCTTAGAATGTTAATTCTAAGCTCACGTCTTCAAAGGGTTTCAATGTGATGTTGTACTCTTATATCAATGAATTTTCTTCTAGTTTTCAGAATGAAAATTTTAGCTCGTTTTGCATATAATTCTTTGTTCATCTAAAATGAAATTCTGTAGGATTTTAGTTGAAATCAGGATAACATAGTTCGTAGTTTTCTACATTCATTGCTAGAATTCAATTTTTGATTTCGTTAGGCCTTTCGTGTTGCTTCAGCTATGGTATTTTTATTGGTCTTTCAGGACTTTGTAAACAGCATTTATATCTTCTTCAGAAAGGAATCTAGCGTTCTCGGAGCTTGATTATGGAACTCTTTCTGACTCTGGTGTTTTTAGTCAACGTCTCTCCGTAGTATTATTGAAGCGTTTTGGTCCTGCATGAGGTTTCTGTTTTCAGATGGATTTTGATGTTCTGACTTCCGAAAAATGGGATCGGGCTAAATTTTTCTTCAGAAACATTTCTACTTCAGACTAGAAGTTTGTGACGGAATTCTTTTAACAGTGTGAAAGTTATTGATGCTCTTAGCTCAAAATCAAAAAGATGTTTTTACCTGTAATTGTTTTTGAATTTACGACTACTTTGGGATTTAAATTTAGGACTACTTTCACCGATTTGGGATAACTCAATTGCGATTTTTATCTGTTTTTTTTTAATCAACATCCACGTTTGTGGTTTCCCGTAGACTTATAATGTCTTTGTCGTTCCGATCATTGAAAATGGGGAGGAACTTTGTATTCGGGTGTGTTTTAGTTATTTTTTTCCTAAAATTTTTTTTTCGTAAAATCAGGTATCACAAATAGTCATCGGACGAATTTGAGTGATATATCATATTAAAGCCTTTTTAGTTGTAATTTGCACCACAATAAAAAATAATTTCAAACAGAGCTCAGTGTTGTGAAAAACCGGTTTGAAATTTTTGATTTTTTCGTTTAATTTCGAGCGAGTAAAGCGAGCGAGCAGGCTTATTTTTGCTTAATTCAAGCGGTTTAATATAGTGTAGTTATGCTTAATTTTAGTTGCATTCGGGTAAAATTAGTTTTTTGGAGCTTTTAAATGTCAATTAGAGAATGAAAAACCCTAAAAGGTCAGCAAAACAAAATTTGAAAAAAATTGTGAATTTTTTTGATTTTATTATAATTTTTTAGTCATTTTTCTTCAATTTTGCCTACTCCACTATGACGGTCGGACTTGCCTAAGTTCTATTTTTTGTTCAGACGCTTTTATCACACCACCCAGAAAAAACGACACTAATTTGAAAAAAAAAATTGTGTGTTTTCTTAAGACTATGGTCGGAACGTTCTTAGCTACTTAAACAATAACCGGCTATCCTTGTTTTATCAGCGAGTCTTCTATGTCAGTTTTTTTTGCGCCCATTTTTGTGCTGCTACGAGTTTTTTTTGTTACAAAAATAAAACTTGGAAAACTCCTTTTATATGCATTGTGCTTTGAATATTATGTTGAAACTATGATCACGTGTCGTTTTTTGTTGAAAGTTTTAAAGTATTCGATTAAAATACGTGGTCTTCTTTGAAGAGGCTTCGAAGTGGTTTCTCAAAAAATAATATTTCTCAAAATTTTCTCTTTTCAGCTTATGTACGGCGAGTGGGCGCTTCCGGACCAAACGAGTCTGGCCAAACCGAAAGACAACAAAGTGTTGGGCTACATTGTGCACAGACTGTTCGAACTCGTCTACCCTCCCCCTCTGCCCCCTCCCGCCCCAGTGTTCCAGGAGTTCCCGATCAAAATTGGGATTGTCGGCAAGGCGTTCTCTGGCAAGAGCACAATCATACAGTCTATGTGCCAACGTAAGCTTTTTGATGACTCGCCGCTGATTCATAATAGACTTTTTGTCGTTTGCGGGTGATTTTATTTCCACTGTGTTTTCAGTTTTGTTCACTTTAAGGTTTTGAATTAAGATATCCGAGAACTCGTTTATCAATTAGAGCTGAAAACAATTGTGATTTTATTAATTGAATTTAGTGGACTAAAAGACACGTTCAATTCAAATGTCGATCATTTGAAATTGTTCTATTTTCAATTTTAAGTTTTCTGTACAGAAAGCAGGATTACCAAAATGTTAATTTAAAACGAGGAGAGCATATTTAACCCTTTGGAAGAATTTTGTGCTCCAACCAACCAATGTGTACGTGGTAACTTTATTTCCTTTGAAAATATGTGCACTCTGTTCCGCGTAAGTAGCTTCGTTTTTTTTCTCGCTCTTACATTGTCGCTCCTTTCTCTTCCAGGCTATGGCTTCGCACACATTCTCGTGAGTCGTCTGGTTGTGGAAAGTGTGGAGGCATACAAATTGGGGGAAGTTGAGACACTTCCCACCCCTCCCCCCACTGTGGAACAATTGAGGGGACTACTGGAGACAGAGGAGATGCAAAAGGTCAGTCGGCTCTTTTCACCGCTGTAGCAACCCCTCTTCCCTTTCCCTCTCACCCATTTCCTCCCCCTGGTAAACTTACAAATCCAATTTACGGTATAACTATTGGTTTCTACATTGTTATCTTGTAATGTTTTACAATGTTATTGATGTTTTTTTTTCAAATTTGCGCCATTGCTCCTTTTGCATTTTAATATAAATGTTTTTGTTTTTACAAAGAATGACTTAATTACAGGTCTTTAAATGGTAAAAGGTTGCTCTGTTTTTCCTTCGAGCCTTTCTTTTTCTCGAAATTTTTGCTTTATTGCAGAAAGATCCTCTGGAGATACAAGCAGGCGGTGATTTGAACCTGCAAGACCTGCCAGGTGGGGGCACCTCAGTCCAGACCTCAGGAGGAGGAGGGGGAGATGGAGCGAGTACCAGTCTGATCAGCTGGCAGGCGAAGAAGCCGCAGTTGTCCCGCAGAGCAGCCTGTGGAAAGAGGATCTTCGATGAGTTGTGCAAGGGCAGAAATGTGCCCGATGACGTCATCGCTGAACTAGTGGTCGATGCTGTGAGGTAAAAACATACTTTTTTCTAACCCAAAATTTTTCTCAATAATTTTTTGGGGAAAAATTTTTGTATTTTCTGCTTATTTCCTGTCCGCTTTTCAGGCCGCCGGAACGTTTTCCTCATATTTGGTAAATAAGTTTTCTTCTCGCAAGCAAAACAACATTTCGTTTCATCTATGCACGTTTTTGTAATGAGGTCAACTTTTAAGCTTTATCTAAAGGATTGGTTTAAAGATGTGCAATTCATGGAATTTTAAAATCAATTCAATTTCAATTAAAAAAACCAGCAAAAAACGTTCGATTCAGTGAAACTCTTGATTTTTTAGAAAACTTTAGATATGTTTATTTTAATTGGTTTGTAAAAGCCCACAATCAACGTGGGCTTTTACCAATCAGTTAAAATAAAGATCTCGTAATTTTTCTAGAAAACCAAGAGTTCTACTTATTCGATTTTTTTGATGATCAAATTTGACCTTCAGACAAGTTCCGGAGGGTCAAGGGTGGGTGCTGGATGACTTCCCTCTCAATCTGGAACAGGCGCAACATTTCGAGAAGTTCCTCACCGGATTCGAGGACAAGGCAAACCCAGTCGAGGAGGTCAGTGATTGATTGATGACATCTTCTGCGATTATAGTTTATGCTGAGTTGTTGGATTAATAAAGCAATTTTCTAATTTAAAAAAATTTTTATACAGTTTTTTCGTCTTACATGCTGAAATGGGCGAAAAATTGGTTTTCCTTGTCAAAATGATTATTTTAGCTTATTTCAGTTCGTTCAGATTGTTTGACTGAAACTGATTTTGCCTTCAATTTTACATTAACTATAAATGAATAATGATTCTCGCGTCTGCTTTTCTCTTGGTTCATGATATAAGTGTGTGATTTTTCTGAAATGATGTACTCCTATATTAATAACTTTCCTCATTTAATGATTAAAGCCTTGTATAGAGTCCAGACAATTAGGAGATTTTTCAGCCCAGTAAAATTAGGCATAAATCGAACAATTTGAAACGAATGTTTGGCCTTGTCTAAGCCAAATGTACGCAAGTTGAGGCAAACTTTCGCTTTCAAAAAATCAAGTTCCTAGCTGTGTGCTTGTCCGCAAAACTTTTTCTGAGGTGTCGTCGTTTGTTTCCAGGTGTCGCGGAACCAATGAAAAGTAATTTCAGAATGAATCATAGTTTTTCTGTTGTATTTTGCAGGAGAAATCAACGAAGAAGCCGCGTAAGCCGGAGCTAGTGAACAACCCCAACCCCCCTCCAGAGGCGGCTGCTCCCGAGAGTGGGATAGACCTGCTGCTGCTGCTGGACATCACAGACGATGAGGCGCTGAAGAGGAGCGAGGGCAGGACTGTGGCCCCTGTGAAGAGCATAGAGTACCACCAGGTAGAGTTGAAACGAACAATTCTAGTTTTTTTGTAAAGATAGAAGTTGTTTTAATACCGACTTTTCCGAGACTAAAGTTCCGACTCGGAATTTTAAAATACCAATAAAGACATTTATCTGTTCCGACTGCCCTTTAAAGCTAATGAAAAACTATTTGGGTAAAAAATTGATTGAAAAAAAAATCGAGAAAAAAAAAAGAAAACTTTTTTTCCGTTTTATCCTCCCACTCGTTATGCAAAACACAGAGAGATGTATTCAGCGTCTCGTACGGTTTTAAAAGAAACAAGATTGCTCGTATCAAGGCGAAGCCCTTAATGTTCCGACTGCCTCTTAAGGTTTATGGAGCAGTAATAACATAAATATCATTAACATATTAAATCTAATAAAATAAAATGAAAAAAGAATTTTTTTCTTTAAAAATCATCCTCCCACAGGCCATATACAATACAAAAGAATAGATTTTGCTCCTTTTAACAAATCAATTATGGCAAATAAGCTTCTTTCAACCAACTTGGAACGATTTCTAAGACTGTTTAAATCTCCGCTTACGCGTTAAAAGCGCGAATTATATCGCGCGTTAATTGTCCCAAATTGCCAAAATGGCAATCTTTAAACCCTCATAGCTTTACGAAAAATGATCACAGGTAAAACATTTTTTCAAATTTGAGCTCAGAACAACAATACCTTTTGAATGATAAAAAAGAAATTCCGTCAAAAATGGCTAGTTAAAAAGTCGAAATTTGTCTGAAGAAAAAAAAACCCACCCCGAGCACAAATATTCCGTTTCTTTCGTATCGAAAGTCGGAACAACAATTAAATTTCCTCAGCAAGTTTGAATTAATTAAATTTACCGCATATGCGTATTATTCGAAATCAAAATAGTGCGCAATAATTATACCAAATTGGCCAGATTCGCATTTTTAAACCCTCAGAAACTTCTGTAAAGAGAGTACACTAGATTTTTTTTATTTTATCGAGCTCAGGACAACCATATTTTTCAGTTTATTTTTTAAAACTTTCCACAAAAATGCTTGGTTAGAATTAAGACGGAAAAAACCGCACTATTTTGACTGAGTAAAATGAATAAAAAACCACATCAAGCAAAAATATCCCGTCTTTTTTGAAAGTCGGAACAAAAACAGTTCCGGGCTCGTATTTTTTGCCGCCGCTAATTTCCATGACAAACTGACAACCTTTTTGAATGTTTTAATGATTTGCATTGTGCTTACGCAAAATGTCCAGAAATACCGACTGCACTTATGAAAAATTTAGACCACTCTTTATTTCATCAAGGAACAAGTCATTGACGCATTCTAAACAATTTCAGTGGTTAAGTTTGTTAAGTTAAGACGATTTATCGCTAGGGAAAAGGCCAAGATAAGAGTTGTTCGACTTTTTACGGAGAATCGCTGTTATGCCCTATGCCCTATGGTTAAGAATTACATGCTTTTTGGCTTTTTTTCTGGACCCTGTAAGGCTGCTTCAACCACCAGCAACGAGCACGGATCATGGTCGGCCTCGAACATCCAACCTTTTGATTGATATGTTAATTATGTTTTTTGAAAGCATATTACGTGCTGGATTTCTGTCATTTTTTGAGAAAAAAGTAAAAATTGGATTTTTTTTTCAACTTAGAACACTCCGAAATGTGACTGCCGTAGTTTTTAGTACTGATATCTGTCTCTCCGTGTGAACATAGTTGTATGTGTGTCTGTGGTAGGAGTACAAACCCCCTCCGGACGGGGCGGCGACTGGACTGTCTGGACAGGAGAAAGTGGAGGCTGTCAAGGACGACAACTACGATAGAGAACAGATTCAGAAGAGGTAAGCACTTAAACATGACATTTTTTAAAATACTTTTTTTAACAAACTGGTTCTGAATTGTTCATTTTCTCTTCCAGTGACCTGCACTTCTTAATTTCTAAAAGGTCACCAGTTAATTAATCCATTGAATATTTTACGATCCTGAGTTTTATAGTGATTTAAAAAATGAAAACTGGCCAGATTTTTCCACCAGATTTTTTTGACTTTTTAAGATTCGATGAACGTAGTTCAAATTCTGATATAGTTCGTGAATTTTTTTTTTCAGGAAAAGTTTGAAAATTTGTTCGCGCTCAAATTTCATTTCTCAGAAAAGTTTTTTTTTATAATTTTCGATTTTTTCTCTTTCAAAATTTAATTTGTCTCGATACTCATATAAAATGAACTTCAGTCTGCAACTTGGTTGAGTGCCATGAACCCATCAACCACCTGCTTACTTTTATTGACGTATTTTTGAAGCGCCTTACCGTTTTTGCTTGGGGAGAGATAGCTCAGTTGGTCATTACGGGAGGGAGATTGATCCAATAAAAGAATTGCAAACTCCACTATCGAACAACGATAGTGTAAAGGTCACAAAAACATGATCAATTTCTAGTTTTGAAAGTTTCGAAAACCTTTACCTTTTAATTTTTTCAAAATGATTTAATTTCCTGAAAAAGTATCTATCATAAATTGTTCTTGAAAATCAAAGAGCTTTAAGGCCATGTGTTTTTTGTTCCGACTTTCGTAACGAAAGTAACGGACTATTTGTGCTCGGGGTGGGTTTTTTTCTTCAGACAAATTTCGACTTTTTAACTAGCCATTTTTGAAGGAATTTTTTTAATATCATTCGAAAGGTATTGTTGTCCTGAGCTTAAACTTGAAAAGATATTTTACCTGTGATCATTTTTGTAAAGTTATGGGGGTTTAAATATCGGCATTTTGGCCAATTTGGGGCAAATAACGCGCGATAGATTCCGCGCTATTAACGCGTTAGCAGAGATTTAATCCGTCTTAGAAATCGTTCCAAATTGGTTGAAGGAAGCTTATTTGCCATAATTAATTTGTTACTAGGAGCGAAATGTATCATTTTGTACTTTATATGGCGTGTGGGGGATGGTTTTCACAAAAAATCTCAAATAAAAATAAAAAAAGTATTATTTTTCATGTTATCACTGATTCATAGACCTTAGAAGGCAGTCGGCACATTCAGGGCTTCGTCCTGATACGAGCGGTTCTGTTTACTTTGAAATTCGAAAGTTGCAATTTTTTTTGTTTCTTTGCGTGGAATTTTTTTTCTGTTTCTCTGCGTTCAATGGCTTTTTTCCTACAGTCTTTTGACTATGCTCTTAATGTTACATAATGCGGAAAACTACAATTAATTGGCAAGAGCATTACGAAGCATTCCCATTACAACATTGGACCTCATCATACTATTATTGGCCAGGTTTACCGGTAGGAGTTGGCTAAGATTTGAGTTGGATCTAGTATAAGACGTAAAAAGTTCTTAGGCTTTGGTTTACAATGGTTGGGGTTGAGGATTACGTAATATATTTAATGCACACTGTATATGACGTAATAAGTTTTGTTGTGTTGTAGACTGGTGGGGTTCGAGGACAGCTGGGCGCAGATTGAGTCCTGGTACCACAAGTTCAACGTCGTCTACAGTGTGGACGGGAACAAGGAGCGGGAGGAGGTGTTCTACGATGTGGACAGACTGGTCCAGGAAATATTCCGAAAGGTAATCAAAATCACTGGGGGCTTTTCTCATGCGCAACAATTCAGCTCAATTTCAGCCAATCAGCGCCCTTTAAATTGCCCAAAACTGACTGAATTTAGCACTTTTTTAGATCGATTTTTTTAATACAGCTGTTGTGTTGACAAAATTTTCGCGTATTCAGTCCTTCGCGCATAAGGGATTCCTTCGTTATTAGTCACAAACAAATTTTTAAATTTATGTCATCTAAATATTTTGATAAAGAATGTAAATATGGATTTTCGCCATCATCTCTCATCAACATTAACTCAACAGCGTTTGCCTCTATTTAAGCCACGATTATTCCGAAGATCGCAGAAAGTAAGTATGATACCGAATAAATGTCGAACTTGTCTTGGTCTGCTGATAGTGTTTGGGAGGTATTTTGAACAGAAGAAAATTATTTGCAGATGTTTTGTTAAATGACTGAATTCTAATCGGCCACTTTGAGTGTCGATAAACTTGTAAATTTCAAACAGATGGTTTACTTCTTACTTAACTAATCAATATACTGAACTTGAATAATTTTTTTACTATATTTGAATCGCGCTTTAATCCTCTGAAACTCGAAAATGTTTTCCTAGAGTTGGAGCTCTTGTATCTGATTCTGAAGTAAAGTGCCTAGTCCCTCAACTGCTAAGAATTGGAATTGTAGTCGGTTCTTTTCAAGTCGCTTTTCGTTTTTGTCTAATATAAAATTAACAAAGGCGAGTTGAAAATGGCTTCCGATCTTCTTAAAGGCAATAAAACATGTCATGGCGAGCAAGTGAGAAGTTTTGAACAGCATTTTTTTCATGCAAAATACCGTATCAACAATTTCTAGCAAACTGGAGTCTGTAAATTTACGAAGGGGTGGGGAAACTAGAAAAGCGCCTGTCGTTAACAAATGAATCCGAAAATTTGTATCTACATTATTGAATTCCCTTGTAACTTTATTTTAAGTGAAATTAAAATAAGGCATCGGATGGCTTCAGCCAAAACAACATGGTGGCTACGTGAAATTGATTGGTGAAATTGAACGTGAAATCGTGACATTGATTGGCCACTAAGTCAAACGCGAAATTGATTGGAATGGCCCCTAACAGAAACAGTTGATTGGTTTTTCAGGAATTCGTATTGGTTCTTTAGTTTGCTGCACAGAACGTATCACAAAATTTGAATATTAAATTTCCAGGTTTTGTGGTATATGTTTTGTTTTACTTTTTTTTGTAAAGAACAACTACTAAAGGCAAATAACGTTCATGTAAACCCATTTTACCAAACGGAGATTTAATTAATGCTTCAAAAGACAAAAGTTTGTTTAAAACAATTTACCTAGCCTTAGATGGCTTCTATAGTTAAGTTTTTTTACCTTTGCGATAAGCAAGGGTATTACAATCGGGTACTAGACTTTTTTTCCGTAAACAACATTGTCCACAGGACTCATTGGACTCCTGATGTACCTAGCTTCACAATGAATTCAAATTTTGTAGTATCTCTTGCACACTTAGCCTGGTGGTAACTAATACGCTTGGGAGGACAAAAGTCCTGTGCTAGAATCTGACCAGGACCAGTTTTTTTCAATTGGTAAATAAACCGGATCAAAAAAATTCGTCCTGTTATTTGTCTGCTTATGTTTTGTCGGCTTAGCCACATCTAAGAATCGTTTAGCTGCAAACAATTTTCTCTGCAGTTGCTTTTCGCATTTTAAAAATCCGGCCGAATTGAAATTAGCGTTTCACATTGGTTGTAATTTTACCAGCTCGATTTGTTGAAAAAATTTCATGTATTTTTTCATTTTTTTTGTCTTCTATCTACGTAATAATTTTTAGCTTAATTAATATCGATTTAATAGCTGTTATTGCGTCCTTAAGACCATAAAAGTTTTTATGCGCTTCTGTGAGGGAAAAAGGGACTTATTTTTATATGTTTAGAATTTTTTCGGCATGAAGGGTTTCTGCTCAGGTATTTTTGGCTTTGTTACCACTTGGTAATTATAAATTCAAATCCAATCAACAATCCGGAGCATCTGGCATAGAGGTAAAACAGCAGTTTTAGATAGCAAAGGCTTTTGGTTTGAATCTGACTTGGCCCTTTTTTTGAAACACAGTTTTTGTGCTTTTTCTGACTATCACCCGTCTGTTTATTTTTGTGGGCTTGGTTCCCATAGCTCGATGGTTCAGCTTTATTTCAAGTTGCTGTAACCCCCAGGCTTGAGACGACAAAGGCCGGCAGTTATATTCCAGTTGATACCTGTTTTTTTTCTGCAAATAGAAAATTTTAGCTAATTTAGATTATTCTCTGCTTTTTTTGTCGGCTTAGTTCCGCAGAAAGAACTTTTCGAGAAACATACCTTCTTCATAGCATCCTCAAAGCTCTTTGTAGAGTTTTCAATGGTGCAGGCAATTTTGTCCTGGATATTTTGGGCTTTTGTTTCAATTTTATTGACAAAAACGATTTTTTGAAGTTTTTTTTTTCTGTTTGATTTTAATCATTGTCATTCATTTTTGTATTGCAAGTTGTGCGAAGCTTCGCCTCTGTATTTAAATTTACTCCTTAAAATATTGCCTATTTTTGAATTTATTAAACTGCTGTTTTAAGTTTTGAGTCATAGAGTTTGAGCTGGACAGATACCTGTACATATAAAAGCAATACAAAAAAATATATGATTGGAAAAATAAAAATATAAAAATTTTCAGTTTCTTTTTTAAAATACTGTTCAGTTGTTGCACTATGGATTCAGGGCTGCTCTGAATATCTAATACGAGTCTTCAACTATACGTTAATTCCAGGAATTTGGCTGAAGCCATCAATGAGTAGAAGATAAATAACGAAAGTTTTGCTTTGAAGGGTAGGTTAAGTGCTCTTTTTGTATATTTTCACTTGATTCTTATTTTTTATTATATTTTTTAAAATTGATCAACTATCGCTCGAAAAACACACAGACGTAAGAACAGGATTAAAGGTGCTTGAAAACGGGCTGCAAAGTTCTTTGGCGTTCTCGCACTGTGATCATTTCATTTTGAATGTAATTGTTCTGATTTCTACAATAAATGAAATCCAAACTGCAAATAACTTTTATGATTGTGATATTTATTAAAACTGCCTGTTTCAGATTGACCTGAAGAAACACCCTCCCCCGCCCACTCCCCCTCCCCAGCCGGAGTCAGAGTTAGGGGGTGGTGGGTCTGGTGCAAATCTGGACGGTGCAGATGGTCAGTTACCTGAGGGGGGCAATGAGACTGTAATCGTGGACACAATTGCACCTGAGGTTAGTTTTTTTTAAATTATTTTTGAGCTATTTCCTATTATAGCCCCCACCCACTAATAAACTTTCATGTGCCCTCTTCTGTGATGTTTACTTGCGGGGCTATAATACGGAAGCTATTTTCCAATGTGGGGCTATATCAGAAATCTTGATTCATTATCTAATTCATTCTTTGCATTTAGTGATTTTCATCTCTATGATAGTATCTTTGTTTTGTTTATGATCTAAAAATTAAACTAACAGTAACCAATCATAAATACAATTTCCAAATGTGCTGCTTATGATAGTATCACCTTCATGGTAATTTTACTCGAACAGGAAGTTGTTCTGCAGCGAAAAGTAACTTGCTATCATTTGTGACAATTTGTGACAGGCGATGGTTCTTATTTCTACTGTCGACAGGTCGTCCTGAACGACAATTAGTGACTTAGCTGATAGTTTTTAACCAGGTCAATGAATAGACATATATACTTCGATCTATACCAGTGATCTATATCTTCGTATCAAATGTAAGCGAAGTGGATTGGGCTTTCCCTTCTTACCATTTTTCCTCTTGAAACTACAGTTGCTTTACTCGTTTTGTCCGGATAATTTAAATCAGCACTATACCCTTTAAATGTACAATTCTAATTACGAAAAGAACAAGAACGTATCCTCGTATCAGTGTGAATCCTCAGGGATTCGACCCACTCACCGTCCAAAAGTTCTAGCGATATCTATTTTTATCCGGCCGAATGTAAATTTTTTAAAGCACATTCGGTCACAATATGTATTTATTTTGGGTATTAAGAGCTTCGAAGGACAAACAAAGTGGGTGTGTTTTAATTTTTTATAATTTAATTTCTCCCACGCAAAATTAGGTGCCACAAATAAAACTCTCATGGGATGTATATATTAACCTGAAACCCTTTCAATTAGATTGTTTTTCTTTTAAAAATAAAAAATAAATTTTAAAAAATCACAAAAATACTTTCAGAAAATTTTTTTTTAAATTTTGTAATTGGTAATTCTCTTGTTGTAGTGTTCTTAGATATAACTATTGTCGCCATTAAATTAGAGCCAATTCTACTGGTCAATTTTTTATAAAAAAATTGTCTGTGCTCATAGACAACCACTTCAGGCTATTTTCAAGCTGTTTTCCAATGTGGACCTATGAAAGGGAAGCTATTTTCCGATATGGGCTATATCAGAAATCTTGAATCATTAGCTTATTCATTTTATTCATTATTACACCTTTTAATTTATGAAATTTCATCTTAATGGGCGTATATTTATTTTGATATTCCTTAAGGCTTTGAAAAAAGAGAAAAATGTCATAATCACAATTTCCCAATGTGCAGCTTATTGTAGTTTTAATCACCTTTAATGTAATTTTAATCAGGCTCGAATCTGAAGTTCTTCTTTTGTGAAGCAGCTATCGGTATCATTTGTAATAGGCAATAATTCTTATTTTCAACTATCGACAGGTCATCCTGAGCGATAATTGTTGCCTTAGCTGATAGTTTTTTAATGAGGTCGATGAATAGACAATATATATCTTCGATCTATGCCTGCTTTATATCTTGGTATCAAATGTAAGCGAAGAGAATTGGGCCTTCGCTTCTTACCAATTCTCCGCTTGAATCTAATTATATACTCAATTTTTATTGGGCAAAGTTTTTCTGTTTTGCCCGTTTTGTCGGAATATTTTAAAGAAATCACTATACCCCTTAAATGACCAATTCTAATTAAGAAAAGAAGAAAAAGACTCGTATTAGTGTGAATTCTCTTAGGGATTCAATTTTTTCACCACCCAAAGGTTGTAGTTTGCGACATCCCTTTTTATCCGGCCGACTGTAATTTTTTTAAAAGCACATTCGGCCTCAATATATATTTATTTTGGGTTTTAAGATTTCCGAAGGACAAACAAAGTGGGTGTGTTTTAGTTTTTATAATTTGATTTTTTTTCCAGGAAAAATTAGGTGCCACAAATAAAACTCTCATGGGATGTATATATTAACCTGAAACCCTTTCAATTAGATTGTTTTTCTTTTAAAAATTAAAAAAAAATAAAAAATCACAAAAAAGTCTTTCAGAACTTTTTAAATGATTTTGTAATTGGTAATTCTGTTGTTGTAGTGTTCTTAGATATAACTATTGTCGCCATTAAATTAGAGCCATTTCTACTGTTCAATTTTTTTAAAAAAAATTGTCTGTGCTCATAGACAACCACTTCAGGCTATTTTCAAGCTGTTTTCCAATGTGGACCTATGAAAGGGAAGCTAATTTCCGATATGGGCTATATCAGAAATCTTGAATCATTAGCTAATTCATTTTATTCATTCTTACACCTTTTAATTTATAAATTTTCATCTTAATGGGCGTATATTTTTTTTTGATATTCCTTAAGGCTTTGAAGAAAGAGAAAAAAAGTCATAATCACAATTTCCCAATGTGCAGCTTTTTGTAGTTTTAATCACCTTTAATGTAATTTTAATCAGGCTCGAATCTGAAGTTCTTCTTTTGTGAAGCAGCAATCGGTATCATTTGTAATAGGCAATAATTCTTTTTTTCAACTATCGACAGGTCATCCTGAGCGATAATTGTTGCCTTAGCTGATAGTTTTTTAACGAGGTCGATGAATAGACAATATATATCTTCGATCTATGCCTGCTTTATATCTTGGTATCAAATGTAAGCGAAGAGAATTGGGCCTTCGCTTCTTAACAAATCTCCGCTTGAATCTAATTATATACTCAATTTTTATTGGGCAAAGTTTTTCTGCTTTGCCCGTTTTGTCGGAATATTTTGAAGAAATCACTATACCCCTTACATGACCAATTCTAATTAAGAAAAGAACAAGAAGACTCGTATAAGTGCGAATTCTCTTAGGGATTCAATTTTCTCACCACCCAAAGATTCTAGTTTGCGACATCCCTTTTTATCCGGCCAACTGTGATTTTTTTAAAAGCACATTCGGCCTCAATATATATTTATTTTGGGTTTTAAGATTTCCGAAGGACAAACAAAGTGGGTGTGTTTTAGTTTTTATAATTTGATTTTTTTCCACGCGAAATTAGGTGCCACAAATAAAACTCTCATGGGATTTATATATCAACTTAGCTTGCTAGCTAGCTAGCTTCGGTGCTAGCTTGCGACATCCATTTTTTGTCCTGCCAACTGTAGTTTTTTAAAAAAAATTTTTTTAAAAAGCTAGTAATTTTTTGTAAATATTTGTTTTGGTAATTAACAGTTCTGAAAGTCAATTTTTTTAATTTTCCTTTTTCCCCACGCAAAATTTGGTGCCACAAGAAAACCTCACATCGAATTTATTTTATCGAACTAAAATCTTTCATATACATTGCTTTTTAAAAAATAAAAATTAAAAAGTATTTACAAAAAATTCTCAGAACTTCTTCATGAGTTTTTTCTGTTGTTGTAGTGTTTTTAGATATAATTATGCTCAATTAGAGCCATCTCTGCTGTTCAAATGTTTAATTTGCCATGAACTTTTTTCCACAGTGCACTCACAAAAACCATGTCAGGTTCAATACGACAGATGCTTAATGCGAGATGATTTATACGAGTTTTCCCAACTTATATTTCCTCCTTCTTAAGTTCGGAAAAAGATTTTTGGTTTTTAATATCAACGGTTTATTAGGGTTTGAGAAAATTATATTTTTTCTAAATTTGTTATAATTCAATAAACAGTTTTTGCTTTAAAAAATAATTAAAATTGTTTATATTATGCGTCCGGTTCTGTTGAAATATGCGCCATTGTGCGACTTAATAAGTGTTGTTTAAGTATCTGCTTGCGATTTAGGGGTTTATTTATCCTTGTGGTATGTTTTCAGTGAACGGATTTTCTCGAAGTTTGTTCCCTAGACTTTGGATTATTGCATAGTGGATTTTTTTCCGACAATGACTTCGGTTTTATTCTTTAATATTTCATCCCTTCCCTCAACGAAATTCTTCTGCTGGTCGATGAAGGTTTGTCTGCCGAGAGTTCTAAGTTCGGTTTTTCAAGTCAATCGTGCAGATAATTTAGGCTAGGTTGTTTTGTTTGACGCGTGTTTGTTGTTTTTGCATCAAATTCAAAGTATCTTTCCTTGCTATGAAGGAATTATAATATCCATTTTTATGTGCTGCTAGTTGAGGGTTTTCTAAGATCATGCAGCGCGATACCTTGATCTACTTAGTCCGATGCTGCAATTGAACCTAAGGTTTTTGATTGCATTGCGGTGGACTTTGTTGATCGATTCCAATCTTTCTGCCAGTGGCTATTCGGTTCAAGTCAGTGTTTGTTGATCTGTATTTTCTATATAAGTGTTAGTGTTCTGAAATAAGATTAAAACAGTTTAGCTGCATTTTTTCGATCAATTGGCTACTGGTGACAAGAGGGCTGTGGATCGGGAGGTTTCTGCGGAAAAATTGAAACGATAAGAGAAAGCGATATAAATTCTGACCGGTTTTTAATGCCTTTCTTTCCGAGCGAAAGTGAGCGAAGTCGAGGTTATCAATCTTTTAAGTTTTGCCATTCCTGTTCATTTTTTTTGAGACGAACTGTTTGACGGTTAAGGTGGATTTTTTTGCGATTTTTTTCTAATTAGCAAAAATGGCTGCATATCTCTTTAGTAGAAGTGCGAAGGTGTTAAATGTAATTCATCGCTGATTGAGAATATTGAATAGATTTTAGAACCATCAACTGATCCGTCAGCTTTTTCACTGGCCAGAGACGTGATCGTTTTTTTTTTACAGTTTATGACCTGTGCCTCTGTGATTATAGATTTTAACGAATTCGTTTCATATATCATATTTTTGTCTGTTCACAAAATAATCGATTTGTTGGTTGGCTGGGAAATTTTGGAATGACCAGGGTTATGTGATTGAACTTCGCCTCTGTTTATCGAGAATTCTGCGGGTTGTTTTGGAATATGTGTTCCGAATTCCCTCAAGCAGTCATATCGAATGTGCCATTTGGAAACCCTTATCAAGAATAATTTGAATGTAATCTTCTTTTCAGG